CAGGGCACATGATGAAGCCCTGCCCCCTGCTTCCAGCCGCCCCGCTTCCAGCCCTCATTCAGCCAGGAGGAGGCAGGAGAAGAGGGAGGGTAAGTTGCTTCCTCCCCGCCTCTCCCCGCCCCTGCCTGCCTGGGGCCAGGGAGGGCCTTGGCGGGGCTTCCTCGCACTCCCGCTGGCCTTGCAGGTCCACCGCCGGGCCCCTGATGTCAGGGGGTGTTGCATATGCTAATGAGTTATGCTAATGAGTTCCCCTAGCTCTTTTTCTACGAAATGACCCCTGACTTGGACCTTGAGGTATTTATACTGAGATCCCAACCAAACAGAATACTCGAGAGCTGAAATATCAAATAAGCAATAAAGTGGGAAAAAGTTCTGTACATCTTCCAGGTTAATTTGGGTTTCTGTCTTCCCATCCAAATGACTCTGGTTTTAATCTCCTTGGGGACAGCACCATAAGTAGGTTAATAAATAAACCTAGATGGTGAAAAATTAAGCTGCTGGATGTAGGAACTAAGCTGCCAGGGAGATCTCCTGGGTATGAAATACTGAGAATGAAAACTAAGATCCAAGATTACAAGATGGTGGAGACAAAGCAGTCCGGGGAATGAGCACTGTTCTAATGAACTCTATCCCTCAGAAAAAAAGACTAATCTCCAAATTTCGCTAGACAGAGAATGGGTTGGAAAGTTTCAGTGTACTACTTTCCCTTGCTGGCTGTGTTCCCTGATCCCTTGAGGTACCTATCACACACACAGCTGCTATTTATTAAATCTACAAAATTAGATTAAGGGCTCAGGAGCACCGCAGATGCAGAGTTTAATCAGCTGTGTTTCTCATGAGTGGCAGGATAGTGATGTCAAAGTCCTACAAATATCTCTCAAGCTCTCTTTCTAGGTGGCAAAAAATAGGGTTGCCAGGTACCCCCTGACTGGGCATGGGGTGGGGTTGCCAGATCCAGGTTGGGAAACTCCTGGAGATTTGGGGATGGAACCTGTGATGGACAGGGATCTCGGTGGGGTACAATGCCATAGTCCCCCTCCAAAGCATCCATTTTCTCAAGAGGAACTGATCTCTGTAGTCTGGAGATGAGCTGTCATTCCAGGGGATCCCCAGGTCCCACCTGGAGGCTGGCATCCCTAGCCAAAACGGTATTCATCAGTGTGGTATATTGGTATGATTGCCTTAAGGACAACTCCCAAGAGGCTCTCTAGAAATGAGAGGCTCAGGTCTTGTGACCATAACTGGACCAGGAGTTAAGAGTTACTGAGGCCTAGTTGTGGCCTATTCTGTTAGTTGGCTGTTGTGTTCCAATAAACACAGACCGATTTCTCACTAGAGCTGCGTCGCAGTTGCGCTGCCCTTTGCTCCGTTTTTATTGGTCAATTTCACACCCGAAGCCGGCGACCGCATTTTGACCCGTGGCTTCGCCCGATTCCCCCCGCGGTTTTGTGATCCTGTTTTTTGAGGATAGAAACGGGGCAAAGGGCGGCGCAACAGCGACGCAGCTCTAGTGAGAAATCAGTCACAGTTCTTACCATCACTACTGCCTCCAGCACTGATTCTTTCCCTCCCTAAAGACAAAACAATCAATGCCATCGAATATAAAGTTGTTAAAGTTCAATAGATTGTGACACCGCCTCTGTGAACCAGCCTGGGGGAGGGGGTCAGCAGCTTGAACAAAATGAGGTTCCAAAGCTTTCTCCTGTTGACAAAAAAAGGCCCCCAAATGCCAACTTCTGGATTGCAAAGCTAGAGCTTTCCCCCTGAGTGGTGCTACAGCGTTATAGCCTACCTGAAGCCACACACACTAAGACCGATTCCGCAAAAGCAGTTGTTCCGCCCTTGGTCTGCTGTTTCCCCCAGTTGTACCGTTCAATTTCCCACTATTTGCTGCGCTGCCTCAGTTTGACCTGCATCTTATTTTTTTAGGATCAAGAAGATGCGGGGGAAATTGGGGGGGGGGGATGCGAATCAAAATGCAGCTGTGCAGCAAATGGTGGGAAATTGAGCAGTACAACCGGGGGAAATGGCAGACCAAGGGTGGAACAACTGCTTTTGCAGAGTCAGTCTAACTTGACAGGGGACTGCTTTTTGATCTGAGATCTGTCTTGGGCTCATTTCCATTAGAGATGAGGGAAAGTCTGTCCAGCATATGCTCAGAGGATGCCTGATATCGTTTCACTATATCTTGGCTGAACCCAGCACTAAATAGCATCTGGGTGTATGCTAGGCAGAGTGCTTGGTTAATATGGCAGTAAGAGCATCATCAAGCATGCTTTGAAAATTACTCATTTGTCCTAGTCCTTACGTCCCATGGGTCTCTACTGCAGAGGCAAAGGACATAATTAATACTCCTCTTGAAGCTGATGAGCTTTGAGATACCTTCACTTGGGTTACTAACCTCAAGGTGGGACCTGGAGTTCTCCCATAATTGTAACGGATCTCCACATTGCAGAGTTCAGTTTCTTTGGAAGAAATGGCAAGTTTGGACAGTGGACTAGTGTAATGGAAGAGTGACTACAGAGGGTGGATGTTTTTAGGACTTCCAACTTTTTTCTATTATACCCTAGTTGTTGTTGTTGTTCAGTCGCACAGTCGAGTCCGACTCTTCGCGACCCCATGGACCAGATCACGCCAGGCCCTCCTGTCTTCCGCCGTCCTCTGAAGTTTGCTCAATTTCATGTTCGTTGCATCCATGACACTGTCTAACCATCTCATCCTTTGCTGTCCCCGTCTTCTTTGACCTTCAATCTTTCCCAGCATCAGGGTCTTCTCCAGTGAGTGCTCCCTTCTCATTTGGTGGCCAAAGTATTTCAGCTTCAGACTAGGATAAACTGATTATTGCCAGTAAAGACAGAAAAGGCCAGAAGTTGGTTGGATATTGAGGAATGGGGACAGTTGTTGGCTGGCATGATCCTCCTATGGACTTTCAGAGAGTGGATTTTTCTACTGAATACTGAAGAAAAAACCTGAAGAGGATTTTGAGAAGTTTTAAAAGCTGAGGGGAACATAACTGAAAAGCAGTCACTTTATACAAACACAAATATTTAAGACCAAAGTGTTAGGATGACATACTAATACTGAGGACCCCCAAACATACTAATTAATGGAAGCCAACATGGTGTAGTGGTTAGAGTGTTTGGACTAGAATCCCTACTCTTGGATAGTAGATAACTCAATGAGAATGTCGAGACAGTGTGCAACTGCAATAAAAAAAGGCCAACGCTATGCTGGGGATGATGAGGAAGGGTATTGAAAACAAATCAGCCAGTATCATAATGCCCCTGTATAAATCATAAGTCGCATGAGGGTAAGTATAAGACTCTAACAGTCCTCTTTTTTCCATAAATGGAACTTTGCTGTTGGACTTTGCTGGAAGAGGAAGGATTACAGTCAGGACAGGAGACAGCAGAGAGGGCGGGGGCATGACTCAGTGGTACAGCATCTATACAATATCATGAAGTTTTGGGGTCAAGGCAGAGCATCTGATCTTCACACAGAAGGCATCAGGTTAAGTTCCCTGCATCTCAATTTAAAATGATCAAGCAGTCACAGAAAGCACCGTCAAGTCACTCAGAGCTGACTCATGGCGACCCCATAGGGTTTTCAAGGCAAGAGAGGTTAGAACACAAGAACATAAGACAAGCCATGTTGGATCAGGCCAGTGGCCCATCCAGTCCAACACTCTGTGTCACACAGTGGCCAAAAACCAGGTGCTATCAGGAAGTCCATCAGCGGGGCCAGATTTGGGGGTGGAGCCTGAGGAGGACAGAGATTGGGAAGGGGAGGGACTTTAATGGTGTATGATGCCATAGTGTTTTCTCCAGATGAACTGATCTCCGTAGCCTGAAGATCAGTTGTAATGCCAGGAGGTATCCAGCCACCAGCTGGAGGTTGACAAGCCCAGTGTCACTCCATTTAGTGCTTCACTTTCAACCTGCTTCTCAACAGACTGTTGGAATGTGTGTTAAGTATCTATGCCAGCTGTGTATCCTATCCAGGGGACAAAGGTGCAGGCGGGAGTATTTACCACACTTGTGAACATACAAACGAGGGCTGCGATCGAGGGCTACAATCCAAGTTGCTGCTGTTGCTAACTTAGGATGCTTCACAAGGGTGCTCAAAACGAATCTTTAGGTTCCGGAACACAAACTTCCCCCTTTAAATAAACCTCGGCCCTGTTGCTCCAGTAGCTAATGGAGCAGAATTTCTGCAATAAAGAAAAACACTTTCAAGATGTTTTTTTAAAAATAAGCTGTCATAACAATACTTTTCCTATACGGATTCTCACTGAAACAGTTTCTTGAACCATGACCTGATGATGCACGTTCACATGGAAGTAAGTCTCTCTGCATTCAGCTAGGTTTACTCCCAAGTAAGCTGCGGTGGCTCAAGTGGTTAAGACACTGAACTGCAGACTGTGGAAGGTCAGTAGTTCAGCAGTTCGAGACCCGGGTTGCCGCATGACGGAGTGAGCTCCCGTCTCTAGTTCCAGCTCCTGCCATCCTAGCAGTTCGAAAGCAAGAAATTGCAAGTAGATAAATAGGTACCACTTCGGTGGGAAGGTAACAGCGTTCCGTGCGCCTTGGTGTTTAGTGATGCCGGCCACATGACCACGGAAACGTCTTCGGACAGCGCTGGCTCTTCGGCTTTGAAACGGAGATGAGCACCGCAACCCTAGAGTCAGATTCGACTGGCTTTCGAGCAAGGGAACCTTTACCTTTAACTTAAGCGTACTGAGGAGTGCAGCTGTTCAGTCAAATCCCTCTACAGCCTTACTTGGAAGTAAGTTCTATTGAGTTCAACTATTACTCTTGAAATAAGTGTGCTTAAAATTGCCACTTAAGCGTCCTATAAAGTAGATGGCTGGACTTTACCAGAGGCTCAGCCATCCTTTCCACTGTCGACCTGTGCTCCTACAAAGGAGGATTCCTTAAAAGGCCAGCCGCGCAGAGAGGCTGTGGCTCTTATCGCTCAGATTGGCTGCTTCTTTGGAGATAACTGTATTTATAGCTCATCCGGCAAATGAACTCTTGGTGTTCTAATTGCTAAATACATAGTTTGGGTAATCCAATAAAGCAGTGCTTTGTCTCCTTACTCCGTGACCGGAGCACACGGCGGTCATCCGGCAAGGTAAGAGCAAAGAGTCCTGCTGACTTTTCATGTCAGAATAATGGGGGGAGGGGGGACGGGTTTTAGGGAATGTTTGTATTTCGCTTCCTGCCCACCATGGCACACAGCAACACGCTCATACATTTTACCCTTCAGTTCTACTGAAACTCTGTGAGCAGGAACAAGGAGATCAAGGGCCACTGTTGTGTTAGTCGCTTATATGTTGCTGAAATGATGCACGCTGGCTGGGACTTTTGCAGTGCAGTTTCCCCAGGGCATCAGTGACATGATGGAGAGCTGTTTTGTGGTGCCGTCCTCAGCAGAGTTCTAAATCCACTGAAGCCCCTCCTGAGTCCACTGAAGTCACTGGGTTTACAGCAGTGTAACTCGGCATAGGATTGCACTGTCAGTTATGTTTTATCGCTCTTTCTACCGTGCTGTTCCTGAACTGCCCTGTCCAAGAGTGCTTTCCTCATTTGAAAATAATATTTTTAAAAGGGACACTGCCCTTTTCATAGCTTTTTTAAAAAAAACCCAACACAGAAAGAAAATAGTACCTCTGAAAAGATCTGTATCTTATTATAGAAAGTTGGAGCCCTAATGTATACCTTTCAAGTAGTTCTGGCTGCAATCTGTGCCGACTCCCTTAGGGATAAGGGTGTCCTGTTGGGCACCGAATAGTGTCTGCCAAGTAAATAGGCATAGAAGGAGGCAGCTTCTTTGACTGCATCAGAAATGACAAGGTATTTTTTTTTAAGTTTGGCTTTTGTTCTTTTTGACTCTGAGTATGTAGAACCAGAGCAAAGGTAGCAACATCTTTGAATAACTCTTGGGATTCTTTTCTTGACCCTTCTGTCAAATGGCCGTAGAAGATTATCCTGATTATATGTTTAAACAGCTACGCTTTGGAAGTCATGGAAGCTGTCCTAAGGGAGAAAAGAAACGGCATGTGTCTGTGTTCAGCTCTTTGTGACTGGAGGGGAATTCTTCATAACTGTTGTGCAAAATAACATCAACAGCTGGTGAACACCCATTAGAGAACATCTACCCCACTGAAACTGCCTTTTAAATTGATCTCAAGGGAATGATATTTTTCAAGCGGAGTTTGCAAAGAATACTTACATGGGAAAGCGCAATTGTGTAAATGAGGATTCTCGTGGCTTTGTTATTTCAATAAGTATTGCACTCCTGGGGACAAGGATTTCTCCCAGTTTTAATGCTCCAAGACGAAAACCGATGCTTTCCAAAATGATTTCTATTACAGCAGACCCAAATTTAAGCAAACTAATTTCGAAATTAAAAAAATTCACTGGAACTGTGGATAACCACTTTGGGGGAGGGGGGGAATTGTCCGAAAAATGTGTAGGAGAGAAAACTGGCATGCCAGGCTGAGTTGTTCTGGCCAAACTCTCCCCCAAAGAGAGCTACTTGCTCAACACACAAGGCTTTCTGCGTGCCTTATGAAAAACTGCATCCTTCTTAATGATTTTTAAGTTAAATGAATTGCTCTTAGGTGAACTATTCTGTCTGTAGGCTTGGTTGCATGTTGAACTCCTGTGCTATAGAATCTCAGTCCAGATGAGCAGAGTCAGTTCATCATCACAGAACGCTGATAGTTCGCTGAGTGAAGCCTGGCTGAACAAGTTTCATGGTTCCCGGGCTTTGTAAGATTAATATGAATGTCAATAGCTGTTGCCCTCCATGGGATCAGTCAGCTACATTTTTGGAAAACCTTAGGTCAGTACTTCATGCTCCAATTGTTGGGGGAACCACTGGGTTTGCCCCAAAGCTTCCTGCAGCAAATGTATATGATGTAGAAGGGAGCGGTGGCGCAGGCAGTACAACGCCTGCAGTAACAACACTAGCGAACAGCCACAATGGCTGTTTGAGACCCACCGCGGCCGGAGTGAGCTTCCGGCCCTAGTCCCAGCTCCCGCCCACCCAGCGGCTCGAAAGCATTCGCAAGTAGACAAATGGGTACCTGCCCTAGGTGGCAGGGGGCACCCTCCTCCTGGTTGTGTGCCGGGAGTGTTGGCAGCGGCGGCAGTGACGGCGGTAACAACAATGGCGGTGGAGCAGCTGGCGACCCAAGGATGCGGCGACCGAACCGGATGGAGGCGGAGTTGAGGCGACGCGACGGCAAGAGGACGCAGCACGGCAGGAGCCTAAGGGACGGAAGCCGGGAGCTGCAGTCAGAAGCGGTTGTGCATTGGAGGAGCCCACCAGAAGCCTGCCGGAGGTAGTCGCCGGCCAGCCTGAGGCGCCGGGAACAGCATCCGAAGCCCGCCCGGGAAATCAGCAAAGAGGAGAGAACGCGCCGCTTGGGTGTCGGTAGGCAGCCCCTCCCCCGTCGAATTTGTGGCCCTAGGTTAGGATAACAACTACATAAGTAGTATATCTGTAAACCACTCTGAGACCCCCTAGGGGTCAAGGGCGGTATATAAATCAAATTGTAAAGTAAAGTAAAAAGAAAAATATGCATCTTGGAAACACGATGGAAACATGGTTATCAGACATGCACTTCATTTCCGCACGTTGTACATTTTGCTGCATGAAACATCATTGGCTTGCAGCAACTGTGCTGTCCTGTCCAAAAAGGATAGAGTATCACCATACATAAGGCTTCAACTGTTGTTAATCCTTTCTTGTGCTTTTGGGCTGAATGTGTGCCACAGAAAGCAGAGGTGAAGAATTGGGCATTTCCCGTCCCAGAACCCAGTCTGGTGAATCTTGCCATCTTCCAAGATCCAAACAGAACTTTAGGCTCAGCAAAGGGAACTTTTGATGTTTTTCTATTACTTTTGTTTAATCTGCCTATACCATTTCCCCAAAAGCAATTTTCCTTGCTTCATGGGGAAGAGGGAAGAGTAGGAGGACAGCCAACAGTCTAGCTGGTTTGGATGAATATAGTGGCCTTTACAAACTGTAAGTGGTCTGCAGCACCTCCAGATTGATTCTCGGGGGGGGGGGGTGTCACATGACCTATAGGGAAGAAATGAGAGCCTACTTTCTCTCAGGAAATAAACCAATGGGCTAGGAGCTTCCCCACTTTCTCATTTTCCTTGCTTGCAAGTTCCTATTTCCGGGGGGAGGGGTGTCCCTGTTCCACATGTGTTTTGCTCCCTCTACTGGTCAATTCGATATCACACAGGTTTATGTCTGGCATAAAAACCTGCAGTCTAAATTGCAGGGAGGTATACCGGGCATACACCTCTGTGATATCGAATTGACCACTAGAGGGAGCAAAGCACATGCAGAACAAAAAAACCCCTCCACTGAAGAAACAGGAACCTACAAGCAAGGAAAATGGGAATGTGGAAAAGCCCTAGAATTCAAAGGGCTACCCAGTTATCGGCTCTGTGTCCTCCAGTCAGGTTTGTACTTGCCCCCAAATTCCACCCCTGGCTTTGACTTCTGTTTCTAAGTAAACTACTTTTAAAACTTCTTGAATAAGTTGTTCTTCTATTCTTTGAGCATCCAGCTCATACCCTTGATGACTACCTTGAGGAAGGTAAATTCAGGTGAGTAGCCATGTCGGTCTGAAGCAACAGAACAAAGGTTGAATCCAGTGGCACTTTTAAGACCAACAAAATTTTATTCACGGGATAAGCTTTCATGCGCATGCACAGTTCATCAGATCCTTGGGGAAGGAGAGGGTTGACTTTCCTTCTGAGGTTCCTCAATTCAGCTCATTGGCAGTGTCTATGGTAAGCAGAGTAGCAGTGCCTTCCTCGAATCAAATCATTCTGCCAATTGTGGCAACTAAAAGCTCTCTCTCTCTCCCATCTCTGGGGTTTCACTGGATTGGATCCAAAGTACTGATTTATTTGGATGCTCTGCTTGTGCACAAGGAGTTGTTAATCTTATCTGTTCCCTTGGCAAAGAAAATTTAGACCCTGCCCATTTGCATGTTTGGAAGTACTTTCTGCTAATGCATGTGAAAGGGGGCTGGATTTTGTCCATTGTCCCCTCAATGCTGATTCCCCCCCCCAAAATGAAAAATCAGAGTACTCTAATACTTCTCTCTCCCTTTCCTCTGAAATATGGTTAAAACAAATCCCAAACTGGAAAAAATGCTTTGGGGTTGCTATATTTTCAAGGGTTCTTGTGCATCTGTGTGTTTATAGTTTGCTCTGTGTGTGGCAGAGCAGCAGAAAGTGTGTGTGAGAGAGAAACAGAGCTTCCATGATAAACATATTTTTTATGCAGCCATTATTTCAAAGGAATGGTCATTTACTTGAAATATTGCAGTGTTAATTTGAATAAACAATTCTGACTGTGAGTCATAAAAGAATGCATTGTAATTCAGAAAACTGACTACATGTGGAAAGAAAAGTATCTAACAGACAAAGAAAAAAATCAGAACTGGGCTCCTTGCTCAACATTTCAGTACAGAATAGCTTATCCTGCAGTATTATTTAATGTGTGAAGCAGTGTCAGACATATAGAATCATAGAGTCGGAAGGGAGCTCCAGGGTCATCTAGTCCAACCCCCTGCATGATGCAGGAAATTCACAAATACTTCCCCCCCACCCCCAGAAGATAACAAAAAACCTCCAAGATCCCTGGCCAAACTGGCCTGGAGAAAAATTCCTTCCTGACCCCAAAGTGGCGACCGGCATTTCCCTGGATGTGTAAGAAAGGGCCACAAGAACTAAGCACTGATGCAACCCTTCCTGCCCTCCCTCTCATGATCTGCCTAAGTGCATAGAATCAGCATTGCTGTCAGAAGGCCATCTGGTTGTTATAGGACCATATTCTTTCTCTAGAACTGTCAGATAGAAAGTGGGAGATTTACTCTTGATTTGCTTCTTTCTGAGACGCTACATGTTTCCTACAGTTTTATTCCCTGGTACTTGAGTGGTGGCTCAAGTGGTTAAGACGCTGAACTGCAGGCTGTGGAAGGTGAGTAGTTCAGCAGTTCGAGACCTGAGTGCCGCATGACGGAGTGAGCTCCCATCTCTGGTTCCAGCTCTTGCCAACCTAGCAGTTCGAAAGCAAGAAATTGCAAGTAGATAAATAGGTACCACTTCGGTGGGAAGGTAACAGCGTTGGTGTTTAGTCATGCCAGTCACATGACCACGGAAATGTCTTCGGACAGCGCTGGCTCTTCGGCTTTGAAACGGAGATAAGCACTGCAACCTTAGAGTCGGACTCGACTGGCTTTCGAGCAAGGGAACCTTTACCTTTTTACTTTACAGTACAATATTAGCAGCACTTGCTTAAGACTAAGCCCCACTGAATAGCCCTGAGCAGGATTCTGAGTAGACTTGCTTAGGATGGCAGTGTTAGTCCACTTACTGTGTACATTTGGATCCCAGGTTATTACAGCATCACAGACATGATTTAAAGCTGAAAGGAAGTTTGTACAATGCATTATTATGGTGTACATTTTGTATTATGCTGTGTTTCAACTGACTGCTTTCTAAAATACGAAATGTTTGTAAAGCAGTCGTCAATATTCTGACGTTGCAAATCTAAGATCTCATTTAAATATTAAGTGTTACCTCACCTTAACAAATATATTTAATTAAAACTGAAAAAGGTGCATCACAAGCAGGACCAATTGCTAAACCGTTCCTCCAGGTCACAACCTTAAGACCTACCCATCTGGAAAGTGTTATGATACACAGAGTAATCACAGGCTACAGGATCTGAGAGTCAGTTTAGTGTAGTGGTTAAGAGCACGGACTCTAATCTGGGAGACCTGGGTTTGATTCCCCCACTCCTCCACGTGCAGCTGCTGGTGTGACTTTGGGTCAGTTATAAATTCTCTCAGAGCTGTTATCTCAAGGGCAGTTATTGAAAGAGCTCTCTCAGCCCCACCTACCTCACAGAGTGACTGTTGTGGGGAGGAGAAGGGAAAGGGATCGGAAGCCGCTCTGAGGCTCCTTTGTGTAGTGACGGGCAGGGTATAAATCCAATCTCTTCTTCTTCTTAGTTTCTACAAATCTGGGTAAAACCTCAGGTTTGCATAAAAATACAAAAAAGTTCTAAAATGCAATTGGTGGGACAAAAAAAATATCTCAGAACAATAACAGCAATCCCTGTGCGTGCTCAGACATCATGGGGGGAAAGAAGTTTGGATAGGATTTTGGGTTGATGTTGCAACCCCAGGTGACACCAATGGAAAGAGGTGAGTGGGGGAGGCAGGAAAGGAGAGGCTTCAGGGGCGGGGGGGGGGGAGGACGCGGCAAAACTGGAGGGGAGTGGGGGGGGAGGGGACAGGTGGCTGGAGACAGTGGGGCATGCATGGGAAAGTGCAGATTTAAGGCAAAGTTTGCATTCTTGGAATTGTTACTTGCTTTATTAAAATGTCTGTGTTAACTGATAAAGCTGAAATGTTAGCATTATGGTTATTGCCAGGACGGACAGGAAAAACCCCCTCAAGGAATGCAGGTCTGTATAGGGCTGTGTTTCTACGCTGTCACATCATATTATATTATGGTTTCCCCGGCAACTTGTAAAGGATTCTAGTTCATACTGAAATGCTTACACCCTGGTCTGTGTGGTGGTTACAGCAAGAGCCCTCCTGCAGCGAGCTTTAATCCTTTCTCTTTCCACCCCCCACCCCGCGCCCCATATCCTAGGGATTCTGAGAGCCTGTCCCATCTCTAGTGTATGGAGTGCATCTCTCTTTCAAGCTGTAAAATCAGAGGGGGAAAATGGTAGCTGGATTTGTTAAAATCATTGTTTCTCCAATGTATTAATATGCTTTACTCGGGTTTTATTTGGAACAGAGGTCTGCTTCAGAGGACCCTGCTACATCTGATGTGGTTCCGGTTTGTTTGTTTTTAAAAAATGAGAATTATGTTGCAGCAATGTTGAGCAGTGGTTAGCGTTGTGGAGGTGTTGCGTCACCATTTCCTCTTGGACACAGTTATGCTCAAGGTCACCCCCAGCTGCTTTTCTCACCCTAAAGGACAATAGGAAATGACCCTGCGGAGGAAATAACCCTGAAACTTCCTAACCCTCGACCACCTTTGCTCGGCACAATAGGTCTGTTTTACAGCAGACGAAAGCAGAAGTACAAGCATCATCACCCATACTAACTTAACCAGGGCCGAAAGGGCGTGCGTTAGTCTATGATGATGTGAGTCAATATTTACACTCTAGACAGTGTTCCTGCAAGAACTGTTTAGGTGCAACATGGAATTAAAATCTTTTTTTTTTTAAAGGACACATAGGAGTGGAAATCTGGCTTGTTTGATTTATATCTAAAACGAAGGACCGGACCAATAAAACACAATGTAAGGATTGCTTGGGGGGGGGGGGGTAGGTGTGGAGAGGATAGTGTCGAATGCCAGCTGCACTGAGCCTCAAAGAGTTAGTGTCTCTGGTGCTTTTGTCTCCTTATATGGTAAAATGATACACAGGGGTTTTCACTAGGCTGTGAACGGCAGACGCCTGTTTCCACACAGACAGCTGAGCAGAAATCCGGAGAGCGGCTCGCTTAGGCTGGAGGATTCCCCCACTCACTGTACATGCTCCCTGCTCCTCTACCCATTTTGCTAACGGATGGGATGCCCCACACCAACTCCAGAGAGTACCATTAACGGTGTGTAAGTAGACAACCCTTTTTTGTCACCCGGCAACCAATAAGAATCCTTTGAAGGCTCTGTTGTAAATAACAAAGTAGATGATGCTAGGATAAAACAGGGTGTTAGGTGAGGCTATAAAGGAATAAGGGTTTTTTTTATTTTATTTTTAAAAAGATAATAGCCTTTGTTGGGTAGGTTCAATAGGGTAATTGGGTAAGATAATCGGTTAACGAGGTGGCCTTTTGTTTTGGCAAATGTGGTATAGGTAGAAATAATGCATTTGCATTCAGATGAAATGTTCCGTGGCTGAACGGTAGGTGGGAGGAGGCACTGTCTCCACTGCCCCTGATATGGTTTTAGCAACCCAGTGCCATGCCGGATAAGCCCCTGAGAAGGTCATGAATAAGGGAGAGCTCAGATTTTGGTTTCTTTACTCCTCCGTGAATACTTCCTGCTTCCCGGAGCAACAAAGGACCTCATTAATTTTTGCAGCAACCGAAGGCACAGGAGAGAAAACAGCCTTGCCCATTTGCCATCACACACAGAATGGCCAAAAGAGAGGCGTCACTTAACAATGTAATCCGGTGACCAAAGCCTCTTGATTTCAGTGAGATTAGATGGGAGTAACTCTTCATTGGATTGCACTGTCAGATGCTTTTTTTATATTTTATTGTAATCTATTTTAAACATAAAAGCACAGAGTTAAATATTTCTCTGTTGCTCTGATATGAATATCGGTAATGCTTCTACAGCTAAGAAATGACATGCAAGTCAATCTCAGTGTTCATGTTACAATTTTACGGTGGGCTTCTTTCTCCATAGCTATTTTGGCTATAATGTCTGAAATATAATGTCTTGGGTTACTACCTATTCTAGTTAAAGATACTTTTTGATGTTGCTCAAATACATTTATTAGTTAATCGAGATAAAAAGTTTACTATGTTTGTCACCTTGAATGGAAGGATGGGACACATGAATGAAAATAAGTACATTTTAGAGATATTCTGGAGAATACAAGTCTGGGGCGACAAGGAACCCAAAGGTGATATGGATAAGTTCTGTTTTCATAATTTTAAACATATGTGACAGTTAGTCCCATTGTTCTCCATGAACTGTGGTTACAACTCACTACATCATGCCCTTGGGTGTGTGGCAAATTATACTAGATACACTTCCTCTGGATTATCCTCGTGTTTATTTCCTGTCAATTGCCTTTCACTTTTTAAGTTACAAATTAAGACGTTTCTTTGTATTAAAAAAAAGCAAACAGAAGATACATTTTCAAAGCCAGCATGTGAAACTGCATGTTTTAATTAATTAATTAATTAATTAATTATTAAATTTATACCCTGCCCTCCCAGCTAAGGCCAGCTCAGGGCGGCTTACAGAAGAATAAAACAACAATCAGTGATATCAATAAGCCTAAAACCATATAAAACAATTAATATTTAGCAGATCAAGATTGTGAACGTTACAATGCTAATATGGGGCTCAGAGCAAGGGGTGGGGTGGGGCTGTGCAGACACAATGTGGTAACACTGACAGCGTCTGGGAGCGTTTCTTTTAAGTCAATTATGTTGATGCCCCATTCTAGCCTGCTCTGGGTTTTGCTTCCTTGAAAAAGGTATGTGCAACATACTGAATAGGTTGGGCTGCCAAACTTCGGGTGGCACCTGGAGATCTCCCGCTATTTCAATTGATCTCCAGATGAAAAGATAAGTTCCTCTGAAGAAAAGGACTGCATTGGAGGGTGGACTCTATGGCACTATGCCCTGCTGAGGTCTCTCCCCTCCCCTCTCCAAACCCCGCCTTCCCCCACACTCCACCCCCACAAATCTCCAGATATTTCCCAGCCCAGAGCTGGCAACCCTATGAGCTAGGGTTGCCAAGTCGATTGGACTTACCGGCGGAGGAGCATTGTCGGGGTCCGGGAGCTGCTGAGGGACACGAGCGCGCGCCACCAGAACGTCGCAGGAAGTGACGCACGACGTAGAGCATGTTGGGGGCGTGGCCCCAATCGTTGGAGGGAAAACCATAGAGTTTTCCCTCCGACGATTGGGGCCACACCCCCAACGTGATCTACGTGGTTGCATAACTTCCTGTGACGCAGCCACACTGCGCTTCAGAAGGCGGGGTTCCCCCGGGGCCCGATTCCGCCGCGGCGAAAATCGGGCCTCCAAAGCGGGGGTTTACCCGCCCCCACTTGGCAGCCCTACTATGAGCAGGCCTTGTGGGATCAAGCACACAACAGGATAAATCAATTACTTTGCCCCTTTTGAAACACCCACAAGTTCACAGAAGGGGCAGGGCAGTTTATAAAAGGGGATGCTTTTGCCCGTCATGCACAGCTGACTGATCCCATCCTACTGAAAGTGCATGGCTAGGCCCTTCTGCAATGCATCCCACCCTGTGGCCTAGGTTTTCTCCTTCCTTAAGGGAGGCAAGGTCCAGGAGACAGGAGGAGTCTTTTTCTTGCGGGCTTCTCTGACCAAATGAGCTTGTCAGCAGATTCACCCAGAACTCCTTTCTACAATATATGACCACAGTTTTTGTGGGTTTCAACTTGTTATGCAACCGTAGCATGATTGGTGCCTCCAAAAATGGGGGGCGGGCTGGGGTTGGCTGGGTGACTGTGGCTGAATAGCAGAGAAGATTCCCAGGTAGACTTTCCTTTGCCTGAGAGCTTGGATGGCTGCAACCAATCAGAGAAGAAAATACAGATCTAGATGGCCCAATGGTCTAATCTGGAATAAAGGAACTTCAAACATTCTCCTTGTGAAGCAACTCTCAATACACCTTGCCACCACACACACATACGCACACACACAAAACCTGCCACAAGGATAAATGGGCAAGCATGCCTTCCTACCTGCTGGTGTTGCCTTCTACAACAGCTGTTTGTTGAGCAAAAACACAGTTGGTTGAAGCTGTACACAACTGTGTGGAAGGTTCAGCTTGCTCCTGAAGTGGAATTTATGTATTTATTGTTTGCCTTTCTTAGTGAGACTCAAGGTGGATTACATAATGTAAGTGAATGTGGTCAATAGGAGGAGACATCTAATAAGCACTGTAACAGAAGCAAGGCATAAGTGAAACAATAATATGTTAAACAATGCAGAAAATGAACAAAGTTTGAATCCAGTGGCGCCTTTAAGACCTACAAGTTTTATTCAAGGTTTAAGCTTTTGTGTGCATGCACACCTCCAGATACAATGAAAAGGAAGTTACCAGTCCATACGTATAGGTGGAGGGTGAGCAGTAAATTAGCATGCAGCATAATGAAGATGTTTTACAGATTCAAGCGCCAAACAGGAACCACAAGCTTAGTTTATATGGTTACTATTTGTTTGGGTTCAATTTCGGGAGGAAACATAGTGAGGGAAATAAAGGAAATAAATATGACAAATCGGAGAAATGCAGAAAATGGTAATACATAAGTAGAAATACAGTGTAGAGAGAGCAAGACACTAGAGAAAGTGTAGAGAGTGGAGAGAGAGCAAGTTATGTTTTAACTTATTATGAAAGGATGTATATTGTTTTATCGGTTTTATTGGCAATTGGGCTACTGTTGTAAGCCACCCTGAGCCTGTTCATGGGGAGGGCAGGGTATAAATTGAATTAATAAAAAATAAATAAACAAATGATAGATACTAATATGCAGGAGTATGGGCCACATTCCCATTGCTTTTATTAAAGCATGTTCCTGAACCATTTGGTTATAATACGGCCCTATCACTTCTATAAAAACGCCCTCCTAAACAATTCTGTTTTCCATAGTTTGTGGAATGTCAGAAGTGTCGGAGCCTTCTAGAATTCCTCAAGCAGGCCATTCCACAAACAACACACAATTTCTTAAAACATTTTTTTGTTAGCAAACACACCCCACCTTCATGCCATATCTCAAAAAGCTTGCAGAGATAATTTATTGTTATTTATTTATGTGGGGAATGTATATAACACCTCCAGCAGGTCTCTGGATAGGCAGCATATAAATCCTCCAAATAAATAAAAACTTTCTAAAGTAGAAACCTTCAAACCTTCAAAACTTTCTAAACCTTCAAAACTAAACCTTCAAAACTTTCTAAAGTAGGCACGAAGGTGGGGAGTGTCTTCCATTCCAAGAAAGAAAGCCAATAATTCACTGAGCATGCTCAGACCCTTAGTAACATCTCAAATGGTCCTCCTCAGCTTCCCGGCCAATGACGTCTTAGGTCTGCAGGACTTCATCTAAATAAACCAACCACATCTCATTTTGATAACTAGCGACCAGAGTCTGTTATTGCAAGACATAAATATGAAAGCATTTCTTAGGTTCAAGCCAAAGGTGGAAGACAAAAACAAAAACCCACCACAAGCAAAACCTCTCTGAGGTCCTATCACGGCTTCGCACTTTCCCTTCAAGAATATACACAATAACATTTGAATTCAGTGAGGGTTTTGCTTTAGCCTGACTTACTAGGGCGATCAATTATGACTTGATGATCTTACCTTTCTTTCTAGAGAATGACACAATTTCAGTCATCTTGTCTCAGCTTTTCTTTTGTGATTTCTAGTAAAGCACGTCATGTCGATTGCAAAATATGTTGATGAATAAGAACTTAGTGTAACAGTTTTGACCAAGAAGTATGAGGCAGCCAAAGTACTTATATCTTCCATGTCATGTGCATTTATTAAGGCATGTTTTTACAACTAACGACTGTAAAATATTACAAGGAGCAGTGATGGCTGGTGGCCAACTGCATCAAACTACAGCGCCTGGAACAGCCTCTTCCTCTTAGAATCATGGAATCACAGAGTTGGAAGGGGTCCTACAGGTCATCACTTCCAACCCCGCTCTCATAATGGGGGTTTCTTTTCTAGCCAAGAGTAATATAAACTTCCACACAAATTACTATAGCAACAGCATTGTGGTATTCATTGCTTACATCACGGGGGGGGGGGGAGGCTGTGATAGGGTTGGTTCCCATTGGAACCCCTCCCACACACACAGGGTCTTCCTGCCACTACTCAGCTGGGTGGCAGGAAAAAATATAAGTGAAGATGGGGGATAACTCCAGTGAGACCGGAAGTGACATCAGTGTGTTGCTGGGGAATACTCAAGCATTTGGGTAAAAACTCTTGTGCCCCACTGCTTCTGTGAGTCTCCTGCTGTTTGCCAGCCTTGTATTGGCAATCCCACTTTCCAAACCTCGCCCTCCCCAAGCTTTACCCCCCCCCCAGATCTCCAGGGATTTACCAGTGCAATCAGTTGCAATGGCCCAGTTCTTTTCCCCTCTTGGAAACAGGCACTTGTCAGCTGAGAGAAGGTTCTTGTAAAGCAGGGGTTGAGGGATCACAAGAAAAGGATGGGGAATGAACCCCTAAAACCCTTTTCCAGTTGCTGTTCGGCTTCTGCTCCTTGACAATAAATGACATACGTCCCCAAAAGCAGGGAATAAATGTTGTAAGTAAATAAATAAGGTACACACCTCAGCAAAAGCCTTTGCTGTGTGAATATCAATGGGATGTGGTGGCCAGAGTTCTCCCACTATTACAACTGATCTCCAGGCATCAGAGATCAGTTCACCTGGAGAAAATGGCCACTTCGGAGGGTGAACTCTACGGTATTATACCGCATTGAAGTCCCTCCCCTCCCCAAACCCCACCCTCCTCAGGCTCCACCCCCCCAAATTGCAAGTGATTTCCATCCCAGCCTGGAGCTAGCAACCCCATTAACCCCTTGTGCATATAGCAATTTTGTTCTTGTTCAGTCGCACAGTCGAGTCCGACTCTTCGCGACCCCATGGACCAGATCGCGCCAGGCCTTCCTGTCTTCCGCCGTCCTCTGAAGTTTGCTCAATTTCATGTTCGTTGCGTCTATGACACTGTCTAACCATCTCATCCTTTGCCGTCCCCGTCTTCTTTGACCTTCAGTCTTTCCCAGCATCAGGGTCTTCTCCAGTGAGTGCTCCCTTCTCATTTGCCCCTTTGCAAATGCTTCCCCCTCTTCAGATTGTCTTTTCCCAAATTGGGTTTATTCTGCTTTTGGAGCTTGGGTGTGGGAAAGATAAAATGACTTGGGAAGCATTGGCAGGGAAGAATTAGTGGGGAGAAGGCAGGGTTCGAATTCTCCTCCTGCTGATTCTCTGCCTTTACAGTAAAACCTCATATTTCCTTTAGCCTGCATAAATCTGTCCTCAGCTGGAAACCACATGGCCAGATAGGAAAGGGAATGCTTAATACAGGAAAATATCCATCAACAAAGTAAAACATTCCTCTCCGCTGCTAATTTGAGCAGGGCCATGCCAAAATGGTCAGGCATTGTCAAAGTAAGTGTACACACACTGATCCATGAATTAACTCCCATTTTCTCCTGATTTGTCCCAATGCATAGTTGGTGTTGGGTTAGAAATTGACTCTCCCACAACCTTTTCATTGCATAATTGAAGCAGAACATGATGCAATGCTGGCCTTTTATGACAACGGAATGACCCACAATTCCCACCTTCATTTAAACTCATTGCACAGGAAACATTAACAGAGCTTCTGAGAAAGACAGCCCGCATGACAAATATCCAGGAATAATTTGGCAGTACCCATGGCTTTCTGGAAGGCAATAACTAGGGCCATGCCAGGTTCCAGTGGGCCACCCCCAGCTCCTCTTTCCTGCTACTGTTCCAGGATCCCCATTTCCCCACAACCCCCAAGACTCCCACCAGCCCTTGAAGAATGCAAACATAAGGATGAATTGCCTGTGAGACTGGTTAGAGTGGGGGGTGGGGACAGAGAGAGAATGTGGTCCAAGGTCAACCAGTGAACTTCAGGGTAAGCGTGGATTTGAAATCAAGTCTCCCAAGCTCCATTCCACCACTCTAACCACTATATCTCACTAGCACTATCCAGATGGATACTGCCAACTACCTTGCATAGCTAATGATGACCGTCATTTCTTCAAGGATCTTTGTTCCTTTCTCACTTGCATGGATTTGTAGCTTTGGGTGGAAAATAGATCCTGGAATTATCAGGAGAAATACCTGATGTTTCTGAGAAATGTTTGTGCCAAGTACTGGGTAGGGCAGAAGGAAATAACACACCCCTGGTAGCTCCATTTGCTAGGCTGCAGTTGTAAATCTTTGGATTTCTGCCTTTGAAATGATAACAAAAATGCTTACTTCCTGTATGGATTTATGTCAACAGAAATTCTAGATACAGATCTTAATGTCTTTCATGAATGAAAACAAATGGATCATAAAACTGCACAGAGGCACAAATGAGAGTCTCATGCATGCTTTCTAAAGCACATCACTACAAACCCCGAATGACAATATCTTATATAGAACAGAGTGCTAGCAGAATATCATGAGCGCTACAAGCAGTCACAAACATAGGGAAACACAACATGAATGGAAAATTAAGCAAGAAGTTCAACTGTTGGTAGTAGCGTTGCTAACCTCCCAGTGGTGGCTGGAGAGCCAGTTTGGTGTAGTGGTTAGGAGTGCGGACTCTGATCTGGGAGAACCAGGTTTGATTCCCCACCCCTCCACAGGCAGCTGCTGGTGTAACCTTGGGTCAGTCATAAGTTCTTTCAGAGCTGTTATCTCAAGGGCAGTTCTCAAGAGAGCTCTCTCAGCCCCACCTACCTAACAGGGTGTCTGTTGTGGGGAGGGGAAGGGAAGGAGATTGTAAGCCACTCTGAGACTCCTTTAGGGCTGCCAAGTGGGCCCGGGGGGGCGGGGAAACCTTCGCTATGGAGGCCCGATTTCCACCGCCGCCGAATCGGGCCCCGGGGGGAACTCCGCCCCCCGAAGCACAGCGTGGCTCATGTTGGGGGCGTGGCCCAGATCGTCGGAGGGAAAACTCTATGGTTTTCCCTCCGACGAGCTGGCCACGCCCTCAACGTGAGCGACGTAGCACGCGTCACCGAGGAGCTCCCGGAGCCCAGCGAGGCTCCCCCGCCGGGAAAGGTAAGAAGACTTGGCAACCCTAGACTCCTTTGGGTAGTGAAGGATGGGGTATAAATCCAATCTCCTCCTCCTCCTATTACAACTGATTTTCAGGCGACAGAGATGGAACAAAATGGCCGCTACCAGTAGTACCACTCCAGTTGCCTCCTTCAGTAACAAGTTCCAAGACTGAGGGAGTGCTGCAGATTTTGAAGCTTCTTCGAGGCAGTGGCATGCAACTCATATTCTGAGATCACCTGATTCCCAGGACCAAAAGGATTCTGGGTTGTGGAGCTAGTATCTTGGGGTTGAGTTGTCTGCAGATCTCTTTTTAATGGCATAAAGGAGAAGGGATTAGTCCCTGACGTTGTACGTCCTCTCTGTGGTATTTGATCCTAAGGGGCTACATTAACTTAATTTGCTCTCAAAGTTATTTTTCTCTAGTTTTAATATTTTAAAAGTACCATTCCAAATGCATTCATTCTCTTGTGACTTTCATCCTATTATCACTTTCTTACTTGACAGAGCTGCGAAAGAGGATTATTTGCATGTGGTTTTTTAGCCCTGCTTTTTTGCCCAAACTAAGAAAATACTTCCATGGAATTTCTGTATTCCCTTTTCCTTTTATTATGCCATTGGGAATCCAAATTAAAGCACCGGAAATTCTTCTTCACAGTAATTGAATTATTTGAGTTAGTTAGGTAATCTTAGAATTAGAGCCAAGTTTAGCATGCAGAAAGAGCCTTTCTTCCGCTGTACTATTTCATATCTTAGACCTTTTCCCCATCTGATAAACCTGTCTGTACATGAAAAGCTAACTCGCAAGAGGCAAGAGTGTTGGCCTGACTTCTTCCCTTGGCACGCGACTTCTTAGTGTATGAGGAGATAATGACATGGGATTGCATGTGACTGCCCCCCACCTATTTACTTATTTATTTCCTTCGTTTATAGGGTATAAATGCTTCCCAATGAGACCCAAAGCAGCTTCCATTGTTGCCCTTGCTTCCATTTTATCCTCACAACAACAAGCCCGTGAGGTAGGTCAAGTTGTGTAACTGGCCCAGGGTCATTCAGGGTCACTCTTCCATGGAAGAGTGAGGATTTGTACCTGGATCTTCCAGGTCCTAATCTAACACTCTGACTGCTGCCCTAACAGTAGAGTTTGCGCAGCTCTCTTTGCAGTCCAGGGGCTGGATTGGTGCGTTTAATTCTTTTCTCAATGCTTCATGTCCAAGGGGAGCTCTTATGTCTACTGAAGGACAGTACTTTCAGAAGTGTTTGGGAGAAGCGTGTAGATAATAGAATTGAGTCCCTGGGCCTTTCCCTTATTATGGGTAGGGATGTGGGCTATCACAAAGCGCTGAGGATGATCAAGAAGAAGGTAACCGATCTGGACTGTGTTAGTTAGGGTTGTCAACCTCCAGGTGGTGGCTAGAGATCTCCCGCTACTACAACTGATCTCTGGGCGACAGAGATCAGTTCATCCAGAGAAAATGGACACTTGGAAGGTAGACTCTTGTGGTATTATATCCCACTGAATTCCCTCCCCTCCCTAAATCCCACCCTCCTCAGGCTCCACCCCCAAGATCTCCAGGTACTTCCCGACCCAGATCTGGCAACCCTGAAGCATACAACTGTGTGCAAGGCTCATGTTCTATTTATGTTATAGGGATTTCCCCCCCCTGTGGACCATGCCAGTCTTGAGCAGGTATCAGCATCCTACAAAACCCTGAGTGTTGGCAGATACCAATTCAGTAACAGCTCAATCTGTTGCCAGATTTTTGCCAATAGTGATATCTTTAAGGTGCTGCTGAGATGGGTTTTAATTTGTTAAAGTTTTCTGTGAAAACTGTATGTGAGTATTGTAATATTTTATATTCTGTCATGTATTTTATTGTATAGAAATATTTTTTGTTATGCTTGACCTTTGGCCAAAAAGAGCTTATTTGTAAAAGGAAAAGGCTCTAACCACTGCACCACACTGTCTCATGACAGATACCAAGAACCACCAACCAGGGACTGTTGCTGCCCATCTGATAGGCCGGTAGTCAGTGGGCTGCCTTCTGAAGGGCAGTTCTGAAGTAATTTTCTTTTTGCACTTTTTGAAGTACCATTGTTGTGAGGAAACGGTGGCGCAAGTGGCCCCTTCAGAGGTAGGCCATGCAGAGGTAGTCCTACTTGGCAATCGATCTGTGTACTCCTCAAAAGTTTCTAGTGATGCCAGCTGTGCAAATGCAAACCATGGTGGCTTGGGTGGAACTATCTGGACTGTTTTAAGATTTTCTTTGTAAAAGTAGCTGCATGCCAGGTTCTCTTATGCTTTCTATGCACAGCTATTTGTACATATTAAGGCAGAAAATGCAAATAAAACTATGACTTTGTGCCTCCTCCATAGGATGGATAGGATGTGGTCAGTTGATAGGGAGAGAGTATAAGGGGAAGAAAGCACAGATGTCAGGAGATGATAAGGTCAAGGGTAGAAGCTGCAACCTCTTGCTCATGGGTGAGCATCTGAGCCAGATTTACAAGAGAATAAAATAATTCTGGTTGTCCAGGCTGTATGTTTGTTGCGATGCTAACATGGATCCCACAGAAATATTTACAAGGGAAATTTGATGTGCCAAAGCTAAAGAGTGATTCCCATTGTCCTCCCCCCCTACGATTCTCCTTACACATGCAAATGAGACATTAAAAGCCAAATGGAGAAATCTAGCATAAGGTAACCAATAGATAGAGTATTGGACTCTATCAGTGCCCAGAACTACCCAAGTTCAAATGGCCATGAAGCTCAGGGGAGGGGCAAGTCAGCCTCTAATCTACCTTTTTCTGAAGTTGAAAACCTTATGTGAGCTCACTGGATGAATGGAATGCTGTGTTACAAATATAAAAATAATAATACTTGACCAATAACATGCCTACCCAACCCCCCCACAAACCTGTCAATTTTAACATCTAGATCTCAGTTAATTACTCTTAGCATCCCACAATTAAGGATACAGTTACACATCACTCTCCAATTCTGACATAGTTATTTGCTTCACTGTGTTCCCTCCATGTAATTAAACCCAAGCAAATGGTGACTATATGAACTTAGCTTGTTATTCCTGTTTGGTCCTTGCATCTGTTAAAACATCTTCATTATGTTGTATGCTAATTTGCTGTTCACCGTCTGTATGTATGGACTGTTAACTTTCATATCATTGTATCTGAGGAAGTGTGCGTGCACACGAAAGCTCATATCTTGAATAAAACTTTGTTGGTCTTTAAGGTGCCACTGGACTCAGACTTTGTTCTACAATTTGATCTACTGGTATTGTAACTTGAAGCTGCTTCTTCTCTTGTCATTAACAGGCCAGCTGAGGCCTAGATGTCAAAATGACAGAACGCTTTGACTGCCACTACTGCAAAGAGTCCCTCTTTGGCAAGAAGTACATCTTGAGGGAGGAGAGTCCCTACTGCATCAAATGCTACGAGAACCTGTACTCCAACCCCTGTGAGGAATGTAAAAAGCCTATTGGCTGTGACTGTAAGGTACCCTGGACATGCATTTCATTGCTCTAATTCCTGTGTCAGCTTTTCTGCATTGGCCATTACGCTTTTTCCAAGCTAGAGGGATTTTAAAATGAAATCAGGGATGTGGTGATGGGCTCTGTTTAAATTCAGTTTAGTGTGCCGTATGTGGACTGCAACATTTTAATTGGCCTAGATACCACCGCAGTACACATCTGGTTTGTTTTCTCCTGTTACTGTGAAGAACACTGCTACCAGCCTGTGGATGTGTGCGCATGCAAATATATATGTGCAAAAATATTTTCTTAACCTTTCAGGGGGAGGACAACCCCCCCCCCCAAATCTCCTGGCCTATAAAATGTATCACCTACTTTTGGTCCCTCTAGAAAGTCTGGTTTAACAGAAATGTTGAAAGATCAGATGACAACTTTACTCTCCCAGTCCATCAATCCAAGTTGAAAGGTTCAGTTGATTAATTCCTCACTGCTTGCCTTGAGATCTGTTGAAGCTTGGCGAGGCTCAGAGGTTCTTGAATGTTGACACATACTAAGTGCCCCAGGGAGTAGGTTTTTTTTAAAAAGGTCAAAAATTAACCCTGGGAAAATATCGCTACCTTATTTCTGCTTGGCAGCTTGTGGAGTCTTTGCACATGTGTTTCTGGGATATGTTACAGGTGCCACAGGGCTGTCTCCTATGAGGTAGGTTACCCCGAGAGTGTGTGACTAGCCCAGGATCACCCAGCAAGCTTCAATAGCAGAGAGGGTTTCGAACCTGGATCTCCTAGATCCTAGTGCAATATTCTTTTTAAGTATCCAAAGGTATACTTTTATTGTTTTCTTATATTCCTAAACACAAACATAGACAACTACAACAAACAACATATAAACCAAGAGACTTATTACAGTTTGTTACTACCCCTAGTCCATCGCTTCATTATTCTCTAATATTTGTTAGTATTCTCTAATTCCATTATTATATATTACTACATACTCAAATATTATTTTGCCATATCAGCTTAATCTTTAACTCCATTCACATAGTCCCTTCCAGGTTTTTTGGAATGTCCATTTCTTCGTGCCTCTCATTTCCATAGTTAATTTATCTATCTCCTAGATCCTAGTGCAATATTCTAACCACTACGCCTACAAGAAAAGTTGTAGAAAAGGTGAAGGTGAAGAAAAGTTATTAAATGTCTCTTACAAAAGGAAGTATAAGTGTTATAAATATTGCCCTTCTGACCATAAGGCAAAGTCTGTATTTTAGCTTCCTTAATTTGTATAGAAAAGAGCTTGTTTGAGCTGGAGCTAAAGGTCTGTGTACAAAACAAATTGACAGAGAAAGATCACTGCCTTTCCCTTTCCCAGCAGCTCCTTTTGCCCCCTGAAAGGCCATTACTGAAGGCTGAGAAGCCTTCCTGACCAGCATGCCACATAGTGTGGGGAGGAAGATGCAGGCAGAAAAGGTAACAAAAAAGCACACAGGAGCGACTTCACCTGCTTTTCTGTCCTTGCTGCCTGGCATTTTGTTCCAAAGGCTCCCCAACTCTAAGTGGTAGCTATTCATAAGGCACAGGGTGGGAAAAGGAGAAGGCGGGGAATACACGCCCCTGTAGACTCTTTCCAGACTCCTCCAGGTCCAATCCAATGGTGTCAGCTGCCATAATTATTTAATCAAATAACATTTAAAATCAAATAACTTAAAAAAAAATCTTCAGTCTACTAATATTCTCATAAGTCTTTTAGCATTTCAGAGATAAAAAAGCATGAACAGCTTTTACTTTAAACGCAATTGTAAAAAAACCCCAACCTTCTAGTAGGCAACGTACGTATTCATAGTAACTTTTGTTGACAGCATCAGCCTTGGCTCTGCTGGAAGAAACTTCCCTTGAGTGCTGTGTTGATACCTGAGCCTGAGTTACCTTGCACTGGGGCATTAATGATCATGCGTTCAATAAGGCTTTTGCATATAACGGCAAACAGATTTTAGAAGACACACATGCCAAAACAATGTCCAACAGACTGCATATGCAGTGTGGAAATCTGTCATTTACAATGCAGTCTTAAGCAGAGTTACACCCTCCTTCACCCTTTCAAATCCACTGAAGCCAATGAATTTTGTTGTTGTTGTTGTTCCGCACAGTCGAGTCCCGACTTCACGACCCCATGTGAATTTACAAAGGTATAAATCTACTTAGAACTGGACAGTTAGAAGCCATGCCGTTTAAGAGAATAATTACACTATCCCCCCCCCCCCATAACTCATGGACTCTCAAACTGCTTTGCAGATCGTTCATATCGCTGCTTTTCTGTATAGTACTAAGTGCTACATTGACATCAACTATACTCAAATGCAAGATTTAACGTTCTGTCTGCTCCAAAAAAATCTTTACAACAGGGTGGTTTTAAGACCATGGTTTTTCAGCTTGCTTAGTAGAGAGCACTTCAAAAATCTATCCAATCCATCTATAACATACATTTTATGTTATAGTCTGTATACTCCCAGAGCTGTTTTTGAAAGAAAACCTGGACTGCTACTCTAAACTGAGAAACAAAGTTAAGATTTATCTTTTGCGCTGTGCTACATTAACCTTGGCAGCTCATAAAAAGTCAATACACATTTTTGCCATTGATTTCTGTCCTGCTGCATTCAGTATAATTATTACTCTGGATTTTGACTAAATTGAACTTTTGGTCACTATTATTGCTGATTACCTTTGTATTACTGGGCCTATGAAATATTGGGGGCCTTGGTTTTGGCTGCAATTTAATGTTTAACACAATAAGCATTTATAAACCACATTTCAAGTATTCATGGGTCTTCATATACATTGTCTTAGTAAGTCCTTCCAAGAGTTCAGGCAATTCATTCAGCATGCTTTGTGGTTTGGGATTTCTACAGGATCTGTCCTACAAGGACCGGCACTGGCATGAAACCTGTTTCCACTGTTTCCAGTGCAAGAACTCCCTGGTGGACAAGCCTTTCGCTGCTAAAGAAGACCATCTACTCTGTACTGAATGCTACTCTAATGAGTACTCTTCCAAGTGTAGTGAGTGCAAGAAGACCATCATGCCAGGTTAGGACTTGAATGTTTTGTGGTTAAGGGTAAACTTCAGGTAACCTCCTCCAAAGCCTCCAGGAACCAATGGGAAGAACTTCTGGGATTCCGTATCCCTCTGACATTCCACAGAAGAACAAGGGGACATGTCCAAGTCACACATCAAGGATTATTGATCAAGCTCCTCTCCCAAATCCATATTGCTGAAGACTCTACTCTGCTATGTGCTTGTTTTAGAAAACATAAATGCTGCCTTTCCAGAGACCTATTCAAGGCAATGTATGCTATATTCTTATCTTGTGCAATACCCCATCTTAGTAACCTCAAAGGATAATACTAGCTACTCAGCTCTAGTAATATTTAAGCAAGGCAAGCCCCAAAGGCAAACAAATAGGTACAAAATAAAACAGTGAGTTACAAAACAGTTTACTATAACTTACGGAGACAGAACTCACTTGAGGCAGGCAATATTCTCCATAGTGTTTTTTATATTAAAGACTATTTTTTAAATTAAGGAATATTTGTATACTACTGGAAGAAGTGGCCAAAGTTGAGAATACAACATTTGTTGTTGTAAGAAGCCAAAGCTCCCACCACCACACACCCCACCAGCTTACTCACCAGACTGTCACTGTTTCCTTCTCATGGTGACTGAGAAGCTTTTAAAGTGTGACTATTCATAGCTAGCGTGATATCAGAATGCAAGCAGTTAAGTGACTCAGGGTGCGTTCAGACAGGTCTTTAGATCCACGCGAGGCACAGGTGCCTCATGGATTTAAATGTAATGTCTAGACATCAACATCTGGGAAACGTCTGTCTTCTGTGAGCATCCCATTTTGCCGCGCTTAGTAGCCGTACCAAATAGATCCTACTTTAAATCCACCATTGTACCACCAACGCCCCATGATTTTTGTATATGGCCATCATGACGCGGGCATCTCGGGTGAGAACGGGACGTTTTAGGGGACGGCCATCTTGTTCTTAGAAACTTTAAACTTCGGAATTGGTTTAGAGGAGCACCAAAATTGTTTATTAATTGTGATGTATTTTTAACATTTTGTATGTGTCATTGTTTTATGGGCGATACGCCTTGTTAGCCGCCCTGAGCCTTTGGGGAGGGCGGGATAGAAATGTAAATAATAAACAAATAAATCTAGAGTTTTTGGTTCCGATGGGCCACTGATGTCAGACCATCCTGAACGGGTGCCATTTTTAAAAAATCTTGATTCTGCACATGCACGAATAACCAAGGATGTAATATCATGCCTATGTGCATGCACAAACTTTTGTTTTTTTTAAAAAGCCACCGTGCACACGCCTCATTCAGTGGATGCCGTCTAGACAATCCACAGTGGAAGCAGTGTGCGGTAAGGAGATTCCCCTGGGGGATGTCTGGTCATGCGAGGATGGATTAAAAAGATCGGGATCAAATTTGAGCCGGCATACTGGTGGGATTAGCTGTCCGTCTGAACGCACCCTCAGAAAGGGCAAGAAATCAGCCCTTTCTGCAGTGTTAAAACTGATGGTGAAGAGCATTGATTCATTCAGGTTTTGCTGTCCCCAAAGCTCCCTAGACATCCTGAGTCCTGGCTTCAAAGCAGCGGGCCAATTAAACATGCTTTGATCTTTGTTACCGGAGAGGATGAAATAGCTTGGAGATGTGACTGTTTTTACTGGCAGATTCTTAAGTGCCGGGCTGTTGTTTTTTTTTGTTTAAGTTTTTAGGTCAGGAAGCTAGTGTGTAACCAGCTGGTGATCCCCGGTAAGAAAAGAAAAGCGTTTTGAATTGGCTTTCATCTCAATTATCTTCAGATTAATTTTTATGCTTGATGAGCCATGGCATTAAAATTAGAAGGGTTTTTGTTACATGATAGGAAAATATAAACCAATATTACGCAAGAGCATGCAAAGCAGATGGCCCTAAATCGGTCACAGTTCTGCAACTGACAGAGGGTCTTTGATTATCCCCATCCCACCGTGCCCCACAGTAAAAAAGCAGACATCCCCAGCTGCACGTAGATATCACATTAACGTGCTTATTGTGAACCACAGGGACCTGATTCAGGGCTTAGATAAAACTGCGCACCCTGAAGAATGTAAACAAAACTTCAGCACTGAATGAAAACTTGTGCTACAGGACCAGGCAGTAGGTGATGTGAATGGCCTTACCCTGAGACCCACTGCTAGTCTGACTCAGGACAGTAGCCAGGATTTTTGACTTGGGGAGGCACTTAAATAAGTTGGGGGGCACCCACACACACAGGCTGTGTCAGGAGCGAAGAGAGTAAAAGTAAAAAAACACCAGAGAGATGAGGGCGCCGGCAGGCAGGGTGACAGCTTGGCTTGGTGCGGCTGTGACACACAAAAAAAATAAAGTAAACCAGCTGAATGGGAAGTTGGGAGGCCTGGGTGGTAAGTCGGTGGGGGGGGGGGCAGCACCAAGGTGTCCCACAGCTACAGGCCTGGTCTGACTAGACAATATTGACACTGATAGACCGATGGTCAGATTTAGTATAAGGCACCTCTGTGTGCGCGTGAGTATCCACCACAAGATGAAGTAGGAATTGGGGGGGTGTCAAACTCATTTGTTATGAGGGCCAGATCTGACATAATTGAGACCTTGTTGGGCTGGGCCATGTGTGTCATAAAAGGTAATGCCAGGTAGCAGAGAGATAAACTTTATAAAGGACACAGACAAACACAATTAAATATTTCTTTAACTTTAAATAACACATTTCCAGGGAGTTCGACACCCCTGCTTAGCTGTTATTACAAAGATGGTATCAGCTAATGAGAGGAACATTTCCATTCACTTCCCTCAGAAATACTAATTTCTCCCCCCGCCCCCCGAGTTTGAACAGGTCTTGCTATAAATAAGAAACCCAAGGGCATGATGTAGGTACCAGGTGCCACATGAATAGTGTAGTCCTATGCAGTTACTCTAAGTCTTGCCTAAATCCAGTGAAAGCAATCAGTCTAGACTGTAGAAACTCTACATAGGATTGCACTGTGTTGACTTGTCCAGAGCTGTACAAGGAGTAGAAAGAAAAATTATACTGTACCAGAAAAATTGCATGATTTCAAAAATTACAGATAACATACACAAAGATGCATTGAAGTCTGTCTACAGCAAAAACAGTGGTGCACGCACATGGTACACAGAGCAGTAACAGTAATTACTAATACAACATTAGAGTCCAGTGGCACCTTTAAGACCAACAAAGTTTTATTCAAGGTATGAGCTTTCATGTGCATGCACATGTCGTCAGACAATGAAATGGAATTACATATCATAGTTGTATATATAGGAGTGGTTTGCTAAATTAGCATGCAAAATTGGATGCTTTTTTTAACAGATCCAAAAGAATGACAAGCTTAGTTCTGTTTTGGTTCAACGGGGGGGGGGAACAACATAGGTAATAAATATATTAGAACTAGTTATGCCAATAAAGGTTTATTTATGTGTGTGTATATTAGAACTAGAGACTGATGTGTGAGAATCCCGTCATAAGAACATAAGAGAAGTCAATGTTGGATCAGGCCAATGGCCCATCCAGTCCATCTCAAGGGTATCACTATATATACTCCCTCCCCCCCAGCTCATTTCCTCCAGGCTTCCAACTCTTCTATTACAGCTAAAAGCTGTAGTAACACCCAGGAGGAGGATGGCGGGGCAGAATGTTCAGGGACAGCCAGATGATTATTGTTCTTGGGAAGAGGCTGCCTGGTGAAGCAAACAGAAACTTGTCTTCCATCAAGAGCTGACGTAATGGGCAACAGAAATAAAAATGGAAACATGGAAAAGAGTATAATGTGCCTGGCAGTGTGGGAAATGCATGAAAGGCATGGGACAAGCTAAAAATACTAGAAAAACAGAACTGGATTTTCAAAAACTGATCATAAAAACTCTGAGATATGCAATTAAAAAATAGGAATTGTGGAAGAGACTAAAAGGAAACCAGAACGTGGGGAAAGAAAGGCCATATCAAGACTGATCCCATTAGGCCATAAAATATTCTCACAGCTGTTTCCTTTACAAGAGACTGTTGGTTCATTCCAACATTATTATTCTACCATAAAACTCATCAGTTTGTATTTCAGGAATAAGGAACCTCAGGTTCTGAGGACGATGAGAGATGTATGGTATGGTGTTACTGTATCAGTGATCTCAACCCAAACATCTGCTAACTGCCCAGGTTCTCATTACGTATTAACAGAAAGGTGGAGTGTGGTTTTTAACTCCCTTTCTCCCCTATAATACCATGAAAAATAAGCTAAGTCAAATTAGTAAGCCATTTAAGTACAAAGCAAGTAGGGTGGAATTTTATTCTGTGCTCTTCTCTTAGGAACTCGCAAGATGGAATATAAAGGAAGCAGCTGGCACGAGACCTGTTTTATCTGCCATCGATGCCAACAACCAATAGGGACAAAGAGTTTCATTCCCAAAGACAATCAGAATTTCTGCGTGCCGTGCTATGAGAAGCAGTTTGCCATGCAATGCGTCCAGTGCAAGAAGGTATTACTACTGTCCATTGCCTTTCTCAATGTTACCTTTTTACCATTGCTTTGCGATGAAATGCGTAATCGGTAGCCAAAGGTCAACACTCCCGATTCAGAAATATGTGACCTTTTAGGTCTGTCCAATTCTGTGAGGGCAACATTTAAGATGCGGCAGACTGATGAAATGCTGAACTCTATCAAAATGGCAAATATTGCACATTTCAGGTCCTTGCAGTCAAGAAATTCTTGTAAACTACAGGTAATGGGAAGGGAGTCATCATAAAAGTCACCCGCCAAAGAGATTCCTAATCCGCAAAGCCAGGATGGGAAGGATGAAAGGAAGCATTTGCCCTCGGGAAGGATGGAACTGTAAAAAGAGAGCCCAATTTTGAATAAAGCATGATGGGGGGAGGGTTGCCATTTAAGGAAGGGAAAGGTCAAAGGCCCCCACACCATCTAGGTTTCAGACCTGGAATTATTCTTCAGATCCTGTACCTTTCTGTTTTTGAGGACATAGGAAAAGCAAGCCAAAACTTCCCGAAAAACAGCTCAGTTTGGTGTACTTGGCTCTCCCTTCCCCACTGTATCCTCCCAACAACTGTGAGGCTGGTTAGGCTGAGGGAGATACTATCCCAGGATCATCCAGTGAGTGTCGTAACAGAGTAGGGTTTCAAACATGAATCTCTCTAGTCCTAATCTGACGCTCTCATAAAGACAACTACAATGCCACAACACGGTGTACAAGCTTCGCATAGTATTTACTGTGTGTCTTTTGGCTGGTTCTAATAAAAGGTACCACTTTGCTTTCGGATTCTGCTTTAGACCAGAGTGGCTGCCCTCAGTAAGCAAGACTTTCAACAGTCTAATATTGAATGTATGCAAGAGCAGGCCTCTGGAGCCTGCTAGGCATCTACTACAACCTGACGTGGCATTTCTGTGAGCAAGCTTATAAAATGGAAATTACAGCTGAAAATGCATACTTTCCCCTACAGCACTATCAGCAAAGAAAGGCAAGGTCTAAATGCAGTAAATGAATAAAAAGAAGTAAGACTTCTCACCTAAAATATCACCACCTGTTTGCCGCTTCTTCCTCCTCAAACATTTGTGAGGTGAAAGCAAAGCGGGGCAGGGGACTCAGACCACTCTTTTCTTCTACTGCTGATTTAACAGCCCATCACTACAGGAGGGATTACTTACCGGGAGCAGCCATGGCACAAGGAGTGTTTTGTGTGTACCGGATGCAAGAAACAGCTGTCTGGGCAACGCTTTACTTCCCGGGATGAGTTTGCCTATTGTCTGAACTGCTTCTGCAGCCTCTATGCTAAAAAGTGCGCAGGGTGCACCAATCCGATAAGTGGTAAGTTATCTCGCTACCATTTAGTTCAGAGACCGACAACAATTAACCCAACTCATCTGTCCATCCCCCCCCCCCCCCCCCCCATGCAAATAATTTCCAGGGAGAATGTGGTAATACAACCAAGGGTTGCAGTTCACCTTGTGCATAACAGAGCTTCAGTTACAACCAGAGGAACACAGAACACACACTGCTGTGGGAAAGAGCGAGAGAGATAAAAATGCAAGGGTACAAACAATGCAAATATCTGGCTGGACCCAAATAAACATGAGCAGAAACTGCACTAGATGTGTTCTCATACACAAGAATTTGTACATTACTGTAACAAAGATGCTCGTGCTTCTGCTTTCATAAGGCCCAAAGAGGCAGATAATCTTCAGACGTTTCACTTTTCTTGTGCCATGCTCCCCCATGAGGTGTGAAACAGCTCTTTCGCAAGATAAAGGCCCCTGCCACACGTGGAAGGCTGCCTAAGGGTCCAGCCCTTCAAGTGCACATGTTGTTTCTTGAGGAAAATTAATTGCTGGAAGAGATACAGGGATGGATCATACAACACATGAATGCAAAGAGGTCACAGAATGGATCTCTTCCACATTGCTCTTCGTCCCCAGTTGCCCCGCCTTCCCTTCCCAATTCAAAAAGTGCTCCTGTGGGTTCCGGGGGTTTGGAAAGACTGGGATGAAATGCTGGAAGCAGCAGCAAAGGGAAATTGGGGAAAATTGCCCCTGGGCCTAGACTTATCTTTTGCTCTTTCACAGATGAGCTCATGGAAGGCAGGAGATGGTCCACAGAGATACGTTGAGGTTTAATATCTTCAGTGCTTGGATCTGGTGCCATTCTGTTGGCACACAGCAGCTTCTGGGGCGGATCAGCTTTTTTGTGTATGGAGGAGAGGGCATTTTTTTTGCCAATCCCCCTCCCCCTTCTGCTGCCTTCCAATTGGCCATCCACATGGTTCATTCAGGTCTCCTGATCTCTCCACAGCAGCTTCTTAATGCCTCGTTTGCTTTTACAGGGCTTGGAGGAACCAAGTACATCTCCTTTGAGGAACGCCAGTGGCACAACGATTGCTTCAACTGTAAGAAGTGCTCCCTGTCCTTAGTCGGCCGTGGCTTCCTCACAGAGAGGGATGACATCCTGTGCCCGGAGTGTGGGAAAGATATATAAGACTGCCAAAGTGGAGTAAAAATAGGCTGCGTGTGTCTTCTGAAATAAGTATTGACAGTGTGTACGGACTTTGAGCAGAAGTGAGAAATGTAGTGTCCTGTTTTTCAACATCATATATTCTCCGCAGTTAACTTTTTTTATTTTCGAGCTTGTGGAAATGCACTGGAGGAGAAAAGGGGGAGGGGCCTCAGGTGATTTCGACATCCACTGTTTAACGGTTAAGTCAGGATCAGTCGAAACACCAGGATGTGTTCAGATATTACTAAAAGAAGTTCCTCTTTTCAGGGGTTTTCATCCTAAAACTATGTATGAGTTTTGAAGAAGGGGCTTTGGGACGGATTACAGGAACGGCTGTTTAGTGTTGATAGACTGAGGGCCAATATTTATGATGTGTGAGCTGGCAAACATGTAAGTGATTCTATGTTGGGTACGTAGAGGAGATCATTAATAGGAAGATTCGTGGTCACGCCTTAAAATAAGGAATTAGAGCTTCAGTTCTGTGTATATGAACAGTGGAGTAGGTCCATTAAACGTACAAAGGGCCAGACTGCACGAGTTTTAAATAAATGTACGTAACATACATTATTGCACATATCACAGGATCATCGCACAATCGTACATCATCTTGTTCCAGTTTTTAAAATTTCATTGCACCTTGTATTTTATGAAGTAATAAATTTCTAACACAAGTCTGCAGTATTTTGGTCAACTTTTTAACATCTTAAAAATTTACATTTAATACGAACACTCTGGATATAAACCCTACCTGCACTCCCTGTATCAGGAAACAATAAATGGAGGCTCAAAGGAAAGGATACTCCATCTGGGATTAAGGCAGAATAAGAGGAAACTGTGCTTACAGGAGTTCATTCTTCCCTCAGCCACTAGGCAATATTACCCATTTTGGCTTCCATTGACTCTTTTACCTACAGCATCATCACATGAGTTCACTTCCAGCTTTATTTAATACTACATATTTTTCTTCTGCCTTTACTCCTTTAAGGCACCTGTGTCTGTGCCAGAAATACAGTTGAACAATTATTATTTTTATTTTCAAATAGAGGCTTACAGTTATTTTTTCTTGTTTACCTCAGGTGGCTAAGGCAGACCTTGACACCCACTCCACCTTACCCAATCAAGTCTACCACATCCTGAGATACTTTTTTCCTTCACACACAGACCCATTTTTGTTCGGTTTTAACACCCACCTATGGGAATATTTTGGCCAATCCAACTGCATGATTTATGGAGTTCTCTTTTGACAAATGTGGCTATCTGCAATCTCCAGTAAAAAAGGGAGAAACCAGTAGGTTTCCAATAGCAACAGCTTTGCAGCAAAATCATTTCTTAAAAAAAAGCACCGCACAGCTGTGCAAGTATTTTGACTATTCAAATGTCAAAAATTTTCCTTCCTCTTCTGAAAGATTAGTTAAGGATATAGAATACTACCAAATACATTAGAACTTCAAATATTTGCTGTAGACCCCCGACTCCTGACAGGAAGGCATTTGGGGCTACAAGGGGGAAGTGAGAGTTGCAGCAGTGTGTTAAAACTCTTTTGTCCACAGCAATGTGCCAGTGCACCAAGTCCAGGGAGTGGATCACATGCCCTCCTCTCTTTGGGTAACCCAGGGAGAACCACCAGGGCCTGAAATGAACACTGTTACACATGACAATGTGTTTGGACACCACAGTCCTTCTTTCCTAGCTAATGAATAAGCTACTCAGGAGTGGGATCTGTTTTTCTTGTTTGAATCCCACTCCAAGTAGTCAGCCTCTGCTGTCAGATGATCGTTTCAAACCTGGAAAACACACTAAATATGGTTAAACACACTTGGCACTCATATTTTAACTCTTGTCCAAATTGATCAAGAGGTCCACTTTATCCAGACATTTTAGCTCAGCATTTTAAAATATGGGCTAGGTTCCAACAACCAAACTAAATCAAAACAAACCCCCAAAAGAATGCAACTTAGTATGTGCACACCAATGTGGTTTGGGGCTTTTCTTGAATGGCAGTCTTGAAAATGAAACACCCCCCCCCCCCAAGACCCCCCCCCCCCAAGATATTATTGAGTATGATGGTCTCCTGAGGGAACTACAAACAAAACAAAATCTGAGCACATCTAAATAGCTCTTTGGATCCTAGCCATCATTTTAATTTTTTTGCATGCCTTGGTCATAGAACATATTCTGTTTTACAAAGACGGTGCTAATCATAACCCACATTTAATTCTCTCAAGATGGTATAGAAAAAAATCTCAAGTGTTAATAATAATAATGGCCTGGAGCCTGCCTAGATTTTTGCAGACTAAAGCAGAGGGAGATTTTTGCTAATCCCTCTGGAGGAGACCTCAAACCCATACTCCCCAAGCAATTCCTGGGGATCCCATAGGAGAGGTGTTTTGGAGGGGGGTGTTTGGGGGAGAAATCAGCAACAGTCCTCCATGAAACCACTGAAATCTAGGCAAGACCTAACCCAATGTTAGTTTTATCAGGCAAGAAAATATGTTTTGGGAAGAACTATGGAAACATTTCTGGGTATACACTGTTTTCTATACAACGAAGTACAATATCTATATTAACCACTGCAGCATTTAAACACAAGGCTTTTTAAAAATGCATACAAAATAGAGTACCATGCAAAGTGACATCCGCATCCAAGATTAAACACTGAAGCAGTCATTCTGTGCATATTTCCCTATGAGTTATACTTACCATAAAAGACACTGATCACATACCACTGTTACAGAGGAACTGGGTATTGAACAAATGTGCAGCCTTGTGAGGAGAACCTTGAATCTGTTTATGGAGCATGCCATACAATAAATGAACTCTTTGGGGTTTCAATGGTCGTAGAGCGCAGTACCTCTGCACTGGATTGTCCTCTAATGTGTTTTATATAAGGTGTTCTACACGGAATGTGTACTACAAACCACAGTCTCTCACCTATAACTACCAAAGAGTTAGCTTTTGTGTAACCATAACACAGAACATAGCTCTTGGGAATTCAAAGCAATACACCAACACCGAACACATATATTCATTTGTCAAGCAAATATGGTCCCTTATCCATGTGTTATGAGAACGCTTTTCAATCACAGTTTGGAAATCTACAAAAGCATAACTACACTGATCACGAAGTATAATAAATATGATGAATTCCCCTGTTGGTCAAACTGCTTTGTATTAGTGATTAGCTTCATGCTGGCCTCATTAGCAGTCACTCTGCCTCCATTCTAAGTGGTGTTGCAACTTAGGCTGGTTTCAAGTGCCAGTAGCAGGGTGGCCACCCAGGAAAATGCTTTAATATACTTACTTACTTCCCATCGGGACCCACAGGAGCAAGCCATAGGGTCTCAAGGCAGTGCAAATATAGGACACAACAGGCTATTTAATAAATCCCTCTTGCAAGTCATAATATGTATTACATCATAATACGTATTACATAATCTGTATGTAATGCATTACCTCAACCACACAGATTCCTCCCAGCAGAACCATTCAGGTATCATAACATGAAACTACCTTGTTTCTTCTCCGGTCCCAGCTCCTCTTCCGCATCCAAAGCAGATCGGGAAGAACTCTAGCCTCTTCCTTTTTCCAGAGTTGTTCCTTTTCCAGAGGAGTGCATCTTGTAAACCATTCTGTTTGTGAAATGTCCAAGAGAAGTATAGTTTCCTCCCAGGAATCCTTGAAACATGAGGTTAAACAAGATGCTTGCCGGCGACGCAGGCCGAAACCTCGCATGCAGCACTGAAAGCAAAGATGTATCAAAGGATGCAGGGGCTGAATATGGCCGTAAGAAAGCAGAGAACCGGGGAGCTGCATTTATTTTCCAGAAAGCTCTGCTAGGTGTATTAGGGAAAGCACCAGCAGCCAAACGAGGGGAGGCATCTCCAAATGGAATTCACACAAACAGCCTTCATCACAGAAAAGAAGCTTCTGGACCAGGGCACAACTTGAGACATCAGTCTGCAGGGGGAGAAGATCCCAGTTGTAGGGAAAATCCACGAAAAGAACAAATTAATATTTGTGTCCAGCAGGATAAACAAAACTCTTATGGGTCAGATGGTAGCTCAAGATGTGTATCTGTCATTTCAAGATCAGAAAGAGAAGCAGAATTGAAACTGGAATCCAGGTCTCAGAAAGCTAGTGTAGAAGAAGGAAACTACAGTTCTAACCGCAGTGAAAAAGAGGATGCCAGGTCAGGATGCAGCTCCAGGCATGCCCCTGGAACACTGAGACGTGAAGATGAACCAGAGCTTACACGAGAACTGAAAAACCAGAGTAGCCCAGCAAGAGAGGACATTAATACCTCTGTTGGACAGAATAAAAAAAAACTTCGCAGATTTAACAGCAGTTCTGAAGATGTGGCTAACTTTTCAAGACCTGAAGGCGAGCAAAAACATAAACAAGTATCAAACAAGCAGCAAAGTAAAATTGCTGGAGAAACTGATTGCACCAGACTGAGCAGAAAAGAATCTTGGACACCTGAAAGCCACTCCAGGCGTGTCTCTGAAAGTGCAAGACGTGAAGGCAAAGAAGTGTTCAAGCATGGAAGCAGCCATCAGAAAATGGCTGCGAAAGAATCCGGTCCTTCCGCAAAGCAGAAAAACGTGGTGAAGGAACAGTGTACTGCCCCCAGCTTGGTTGACATACACAGTGAAACTAAAACTCGGTTTGAGAATTTCCAGAGGACAGTTCTCTTTGAACCTTCTTCAAAACTCGCATTTTTGGATGAACATGATTCAGACGTAGACCAAAAGTATACAGAGCAAGGGGAAAAGCCTTCAGAGAGAAATGACTGGTCTGATGTGAAGGATACAGAACCATGGGCTTTCTTCTCACAGGATTCCACCCAGAATCACAATACTTCCGAAAGAAAAGACACTTCAGCATTGGCCACAGAGTTCATAATGTGTCCTCCTCAGCTGTACGGCTATAAGATGAAAGACTATGCAAAATATTGGATAAGGCCAGAATATTGTAGTCCTATTTCAAGCCCCTGTGAAGATACTTCATTTCACAGTTCGTATTCCAGTCATTTTATAGTTCTATTCTAGTCTGTGACATTTCTTTAGATACCTCAGTTGCTATTTCACCAAATGCCTCAAAGGATAAAGAACCTTCACTGGAAGATGTGCATGGTAGGCCACGTTCACTTGGTTCTTCACTGGTCTGTGAGAAAAAAGGCAGAGAGTGAAGTATGGATGTGGGACACCATGCATTCCACACCCAGGAATTGGTCTGCACACAGTGAGAGAACTTGCCTCCCTCAAGGAAGTGCCGTCATCCATGGGGTTGGCTGTTCTAAGATGATACACCCCAAAAAAGGGACTTATAGGAAAGCGCAAGACAGCATGGAAAAGAGCTGCTGCATGAATGCTGGTTTGAAGTAACAGAGGCTCTTAAAGTGATTATTCTGTAATGCAGATGGATATTTGGGGTTCACAGTGCTGTAGATAAGCCTGGATCTATGGAGATGTCTGAAAAGGGTAAGATTCCAAGTGCTTAGAAGAAAAGGGTCCCACCTTGATCTTATTTGTTGACTTATTGATTTTAGTCAAAAGTGACTTTCCTTGTAATTTACCCATCCTTAGAGAAAATAAAGAACACAGTATTGGCTTTTTAATTTGTGTTTCAATTTTATAACAGAACATTTTATAAGGTCAGCCTCCATTACATAGGACAAACCCAAGTATGACTGATGTAGAGCAGAGGCTTAGCCTCTTCACAAAAGAAATTGTGCTTTTAAGTCATAAAGGCCATATTGGAGTGTTTCTCTTAGAACAAACCACCAAGTCATTGCCATAACATGCCTCCTTTGCTGTTCACCACAGTTAAAAGACTTTTTCTTCTGCTAGTGTGTATGTAGCAATATCCTTAATGGAGTAATGAAGTGCATTTCCTGTATATGATAGCTGAAATTTTTAAAATCTGTAAGCAAAATGCATCTTCTCAAACACTGAAAATTGTGGCAAAAACTTATTTTTAAAGAGAACTGAGACTGTGGATACTGATTAAGGAGCTAATGGTGGAAGACCTTGTGATGGGGAATGCTAGATGCATGGAAAATTAGTGAAAATAGAAATATCAAGATTCCCATGTAAAACCCTGGGTAATTTTAGTTACTTTTTATTAGACTAGTTCTAACCTCTTCAATTGATTTATGTGATAAGGAAAAAATATATAATTTGTATATATAAATTTTTTATATATAATTGATTTTAAGTATTGTTTAGACTTTAAAGAGCTTATTTGCAACGTTAATTTTTAATAAATATTGGTACACTTTGTTTATATAACAGATTCCTGTCAGTGAGGCAACTAATTAAAACCTTGTAGTCATTTACATTGAAAACAAGTAGTGTTCTCTAACTTTCTGTTACCTTCAGTCCAGGAATTCCACACTGTATGCAAAAGTTCTTACTGTTAGGTACATGTATTCCCATTGTTGAAAGTATTCTCCAGTGTTTGTGGAAATGGAAACAGCATTTTAAGTAACCTCTTTTTCTTTGCGTATATGCAAGAATAACAATACAACCATGCTCTATTTTTTTTAAAAAAACCATGAAGCTACCATTACAGGGTAGGAGTTCTTGCTGCATGGAATTATCTGTCCATACAAATACAGGAAGCTTCTGATGCTTTTTTACTAGGTGGCTGTAGCCAGCAAATACAATGTGACCCTCTTCAATTTAGGGAAACCTGTTCATAGTGGTTATAGGGTAAAGAGACCAAGAGTTTGCTTATCTGGAAATGGTGTGAATGCTCTGACAAGCCAAAACAACGACCAGCCATGTGCTGCCTCAACTCCCATTTGAAAAGTTTTCTAGGTTGCAAGGAGCCATGACCTCAAAATGCTTTTGTAAGACCAGACATCATATCAACAGCGGCTTCACCAGGAAACAGCCATACGAGTCCATAAGATTCTGACTACCGCTCTTTCTTACTATATTCGTGACAGGGACACAAAGTCTGGCTTTAGGTTTTTGTACATATATTTTAATGACTTCCTGGCTGAAAAGTATGCACATATTTTCTGTGATCTTGGTCTATTGATGTCAAAATAAATATTTCCATTTACAAGTTCATATTCAGTTCCAAATACAAAAATAAGGACACCAATTTATTTTAAAATAGCACAAAGTTATGAAAAACAAAAACTTGAATATTTATTTCAATACCCTCAGAAGGTTGTCCAGGCCTAAAGTTCTTTAAAGACATACGAAGATACTAGACTGGCAAAAGATGCTCTTCATGAAAATATAGCCAAGCCATGATCAGGTATATACAACAAAGAATTCCATGTTTAAGAAACTTGGAACTAATATATTTTACAAATTCTGTAGTCAGGTTTAGGGCTCAGGTTATACCATTTACAAAAATGGATACTTGAAAACCCCAGTGGGCACAAGGCTTGTGTTAGAAAAAACCCACAGTGATATTTTTTTTAGAGCATCTGCACTTACAGGCATGCTTAACTGTAAAAGCACACATATGCATGCAGACACACAATCCAACCCAAATCAGTCAGCTTCAAAGGCAGACAAGATGACAGCACAGAGAGGGCCCATTCATTTAAGAGATTACTTTTAACTCAATTTATTTAAGTCAGATAACGGTACTAAAAAGACAGCTGTTTAGATATAAAACACACAATATTAAACGGTGCTGTACCAAAGTACAAAACTCACACAAGTGTTCAGGAATCAAGTATACTTCAAATATACTGTATCTTTAAATGCTCTGAATGGACATGATCCAACTAAATGAGTAACTGTAAGACCCAGTGATTTCAACAAGAGTGTTAAATAATATATTTAACATTCCCACTGCAAGAAATGACACTTTTATTTAGTTCATTTTGGCTGCATTTACTCTTTATTAGTATAAGGAGGTGGAAAATTCTTATGGCAAACCAATCTCATTTAAAAAGACATTAACAGTTTCAAGCTGGCAAGTCATGAAACTAAACTGTCACAAAATATTTCACTGAGATGTCACAGAATAGAATCATACAGTTGGAAGGGACCTCCAAGGTCATCTAGTTTACCCCCCTGCACAATGCAGGACATTCACAAATACCCCCACACCCCCAGTGCCCCCTGTTCCATGTCCAGAAAATGACAAAAAACCTCCAGGATCACGGGGGGCCAAACTGACCTGGAGAAAAATTGCTTCCTGACCCCTAAGTGGCAATCAGCATTTTCCTGGGCATGTAAGAAAGGGTCACGAGAACTAAGCACCGATGCAACCCTTCCTGCCCTCCCTCTCATGATCTGCCCAAGTTCACAGAATCAGCATTGCTATCAGATAGCCATCTAGCCTATGTTTGAAAACCTCCAAAGAAGGAGATGTCAACAGCATCTTCAGAGCATTTGAGTAAAGAAACTTTTTTTCACATTTCTATCCAATGGTTCCCAGGATGTAATGATATTGTGAGTATGGGAGCATGACTGTAACACATCCAGCTCAGACAGTTTTTACAACATACAAGAAGAATCCATGGGGTTTCAAAGAAATCCACCATATTTATTCACAGAACAGGAAGGGGCCAGATTTGTTTTGTTTGCAAACTTCCACTGCTTATTCCCAGTACGAGTTTGCCTCCCATTTCAAATGTGTGTCTTCCACATTTGTATAATACGAAATACTAATACATGTACCGCTTTAAAGTACAGTACTAGCTCACCCCCTACATTTCTCTTTGAAACCTTCAATATACTATATACAGACGACTAGACAGTGCCTTTCGTCTGTTTATCTCCAACGATGAACAGAAATCCATTTATCTCTAATGACAACAAAACTTCAATTTGAAGCAAAGACACAGTTCAGCTGTTTTTCCTAAGTCTGTTAGAAGCAATAACAGTCTCACAGGAGGCTGAAAAAAAATCCCAGATGTCATTTAAATATTGATACTATCACCCAAGAATTTGAATTACTTTTTCTAGCCCTGATCCTAAGCCCTACCAACAGAACCATTATGTATGAATGTATTCAGTTACCATGGGAAGTCCAGAAGAACATGGAAGCACTATCTTCCCCAGCTCCTAAATATACATATACAGGAATTTGTATGTACTGAAGTCAGTGCCACTGTGCAAGTTGAGCATGAACCCCACACAAATTTTCTGTATCAAGTCATGCGAGGGCTGATCTACAGTATACTTGACAATTCCAAAGGTGGACCGGTGGAACAATCTTGTTCTCTGCAAACCAACCATTAGAACTGAAGTAAACAAATCAAAGTGCTATATGGGAAGTACTTTTAGAGTGACTGGAAAAAAGACGGTTCTGCTTTCTACTGTGGAGCTGCTGATATTATGAAGAACCCACTGCAATCTGTAACCCTGGTTAAATATGATGTAGCTATTCAAAAAACGGAGGCTAAATATTATTTACATTCCAAGAACCTTACAGATTCACGGCCACGTTACATGTTGGATCTTCTTTTTTGCTTCAGTAGGTTGTAGACCATTCTGCAGGGAAACAGAATTAAATAATGTTGGATTTGGTATATTGAAACATTTAAGCAGACATCTTATGATACACAGAGCGTGGCTTGTGTTGCCATCTTGTGGCTAAAATAAAAATATAATTTAGCTGTAAGTAAAAGCAGAGTCCAATTAAGCTCCTAATTTGAACATCAGAATACTTAGACTCCTGCAGACACTGAAAAATCTACTGAAAATACTGATAGATATGCTTATATCTCCAATATAAGTGATTCCAGACTGTTTTTAATGCAGCTCATCTTCCTAAGGAAAGGAAAGTTTTAAAAAGCCTGCCATATTTCCAAATAATGGCTTGGGGACACTGGCTGGATACACTTCTGTCCATGGGACCACCCCACTTCTTCTGGTCCCCACAATAAAGCTTCGGGGGGGGGGGGGGAACTCCCAGGAAAAAGGAAGTCAGAGGTCTGCAGCAGAAAGGTGGAATTGCCAAAATGAGAAACCCTGACCACAGAACTCTTCAGTTGGATCCAAGCCACTGACTGTGTGATCTCATAAAGGTGGAATAAGGCTATTCTGAGTAAAATCATAATCAATTGTTTTATGCCTATTTATATATTTAGATTGATAATACAATTGTATTAATATAAAAGATACAGGGTTTGATCCAGTAAATTACAAGCAGATCAAGCTTATGCAACAGACCTTTGCCATCTTTCCTTTTCTACTGCAGCACCTCTCCCAAACCCTCAGAAAGCTGCTCATAAAAGCTGCCTGGAAACAGCAAGAAAGGGGGACTGGCAAAAACCAATACTTCCCAGGCTTGCATGAGTTCTTCTGCAAACAAAGAGCTCACTCAAGAGTGTGGGAGAGGAGTTCTATTCATTTCCTGTTCCGACTGTAGCCTACCCCCCATTCATTCACCCATACCATTCTTGGGGTGTGCGGGTATATGTGGGGGGTCTCCTGAACCTCAGTCCACTTTGGGGGGGGGGTTAGTCTGCTGCTCTGGGAAGGGCAAAGATTTCTCTGGCAAGCTTGCTTCATTTGGATCCAACCCATTCGATTCAAGGAATCAGAAACCTACAATGAACTTGTTCATACAGTTTTGACATGCATGCCATGCTTGGAAACAGCAACAAATCTTCTAGCGTGTTTCTGTTTTTAAAAGTTGTAGAATGTTGAGGGTATACTTACTGCTGTATCTGATTCTTCTTTTGGTGCTGTTCTCTTTAATTTCACAACAGTAGATCCAGTAGCAGACACTAATGATGACGTCTTCTGACTAGCCGTTACATTGCTGTTATTAATTATAATATTGTTGTTCTTGGCCTCATTAACGTCCTGTGATAAAATGGAGGCTGATGTACATGTAGATGAATCTGAAGGACCCAAAAGTCTCCTACAAGTAGTATTGGTGCTTCCAGCTGTAGGTAATTTTAGACGATTGGCAGCTCCATTCTCTGTCTTCCGTATTTTTATACTTGTACTTGTTGAGCTACCATCAAACACAATGAGGGGCCGTTTCCTTAGATTCTCCACAGCAGCAGTGCTGGACAAAAACAGTGGATATTTCTTTGGAAAACAATATAGATCGCAAATATTCCTACTCATTTTCATGGAACTTTCCCCAAGTTTTTGTGCTTAGATGAGACTCTTAAACTTGTAGGAAATTAATGTACATGCCAACACTAGCATAATCAACAGATATTCACTTCAGATTTAACTCCTTATGAGAGTTATGAACATATCAAACTAGTCATTTTAAAAAATTTCTTTCTAAATTGGCTTCATCAAGTAGATACATCTATTCGCACTGGAACACTATACTTCTACTTAATTATTTTAGCTCCAGAATGGTAACTGTGTTAGTCTGTTATAGCAAATATCAACAGGAGCTTTATGGTACCTTAAATACTAGCAAAATTATATTCCAGCCTCAGCTTTCATGAACTACAGCCCACTTAGCCAGATGGTCCACTGTTCACCATAATAAAAACTATTTTAGGCTTTACAGACAGAATGCATGAGGCACTGTTTCATCTAAAGTTCCTTTAGGGCTAAATGTTAAGAATTCACAGATCCCCTCCTTAAATTGGATATGCTTAAAATGAACCATCCACTTGTAATGCATCATCCCAGATTTTTGTGTATTTTCCCTATTTTGATTATACATAATGAAAACAGGACACGCATAAATAGAAGCTGCTATCTATGGATATGGATGATTAGCAGCCAGAACAAACAGTGAAAGTAAAAAGACCCCGACCTAGAATACATCTAAACTTTATGGATTTAAACTGAAGTTCAACAGAAGCAGTGTTTTCTCCCTCTAGCAGATCACTTTAACTCAGATGATCTGCAGTCCCCAAGCTCTTCTTCCACACTGGTGCTGACCCAATTTGTTACATTTGGGCTCTGGGAAAAAGCAGGAACTGTGCATAATGGGCTTTTTCAAAACCACTTCCGGCAGATAGTATCCCTATCCTAAAAGTGACCAGATCCATTTTCCCATTCTGTTTATTGCCAACCAAAGCACAGCTGTCTACATTAACTTCTCCTGCTTCGTATTTTTCCTGCTTCAACTGGTTGGGGAAGGGGGGGGGAGTGTAGCAGTGAAACATGTTGTTTCTATAGCACACTACAGATTTTAGAAAATATGTTTACTTAGCTCCTTGGCAGCAGCCAGATAGCTCTCCATGTGCAAATGTATTACACAAATAGCACCACTAGAGAACAGAGGCACACTCCTCAACTGATCTGACCTTAGTAAGCAGTTTTTCCTACTGACTTTGTATTGCTTTTACTAATAATCTCTTAGAGCTAATACATAATGACATCTTATTTACCACTGGGCGATACAGGTAAAATACTTCCTGAAAATTTTCAGGGATAATTCAAGAGAAACAAAGCAAGCAAGAATTACCTCTCATCAACATATTTCAACACCTTCTGGCTTCTTTTCTTTTCCATCAATTTCCCCCATCTTGTCTTAGGCAAGGTCCGCTGAGGCAATGGTATAACATGTTGAACATAAAGATCAGTAAGGCCTTCTTTATTGAGCTTCACTTCATCTTCAAGTGGTATATTTTTCTGGTAAAAAAGCAGCCAAACCCACAATGTTATATGAGTGAAAATCTCCTAAGTGCAATAACTGAAAATATTTTCAGTATCACATGTAAATCAAAACAAACAGGAATGCAGAAAGATTGGCTGACAAATTTTGATTTTGTGAAATATTTTCTGTACCTATTCTACTTTCCCACTTGGGACACAGAATTCACTTCACCAACTGAGGTAAATTTTAATCTCCTTTAGGGTTATTAGGTGAAACCCATATATAGAAGAACTTTAGTGACTACTGGGAACTGCAGAAGGCCTGCATAGGTAAAAGGTACACCACACACAGACAGAGAATTAAGTATAACTTTACACAGAAGAAAGGCACTGGAATTCAGGTGACATATAACTATTCCATATACTCCACACGTCATCATAACAGAAATACTGTATCTCTAGATCCTTATGAAAACAAAAGCATGAGTATCACACTGCTTTCTTAACCTCTTATCTGGAAGTAGACTTGCTGATATATATATATATATATATTTAAACTGCTGAAGCTTGACATGTAGATATATACCAGATGGGTGTTTTCTTGGCAAAACTATTAAATGATAATGAAAGCTTCATTTGATTAAATTTTTCATGTCAGACTGCTGTTAACAGAACTAATGTTAAACTAGGGCAAGAACAAAAAAGGTGGCAACTCACACAAATACACCCCATTATTAGAACATTATGCCACCTCCTCCAAAGGGAAAAGGTCAAAGTAACATAGCATAGCGGTTAGAGTTAGTGGACTTGGATCTGGGAGACCCTGGTTCGAATCCCCAGTCTTCCATAGAGGCTCACTGGGTGACCTTGGGCCAGTCACACACACTAAGGCTAGCCTACCTCGCAGAGTTGTTGTAAGGATAAAACAGAGAACAATACAAATCACTTTGGGTTCCCCACTGGGGAGAAAGGCAGGGTATAAATGAATAAATAAATGTGTGAAGGCAGCAAAGATGTTAGAGATGAAAGTTCCCCAACTTTGACAGTGTGAGGACTTCTTCACCATATATATTTCACTGATGGTGTAAGCACACATAGATAAGTGTCACATTTACACTGCTCAAGTATATGCAAGCATGTCAATGGAACACTTGTTCAGTAGGCAGTGGGGCCCTCTTCCTTCAGGAAAACCCCACACAACATATGAAACAGCACTGAAAAGCTGTTTTAGTGGAAGGGCTTCTGACAACATCCCCTTATTTAAACAGCCCCTGCTTCTGTGTCTTTCAACAGCACCTTGATCTACAGAGACTGAACGGTTGAGAACATGTACCTTGATGTTGGATTGCCAACTCTGGATTGGGAAGTACCTGGAGATTTGGGGGGTGGAGCCTGGCGAAGATGGAGTTGGGGAGGGGAGAGACAGTAACAGGGTATAATACCATTGAAAGCAGCCACCTTCTCCAGGGGAACTGATCTTGGCCGTCTGGAGAGCCACTGTAACAGCGGGATATCTCCTCGATGCCATAAGTATTAAAAAGCAGCCCCAACGGAGCAGACCATTCAGTCCAGCAGCATTCTACAAAAAGGGTAGCCATTAAGCCTCAAGACTGCCATTCTTCTGTGCATCAAACTGTCGCGGGAGGAGGCTCCAACCAGCTTCCTTCAAGTCGGCTGGCAACCAAAGGGTGCCCCAGTACAAACAAGAGAAGCGACGGCCCGCTGGGAAGCGACATGCCATCTTACTCTGGCCAAGGCAGACCCAAGGGATGCATCTCCCCAGGTGGGCCCCGATGAGGACCCAACTGAAAGCCCAGAATGGCCCGGCGCAGGGTTTCCTGGCCCCTCCCCCCCCCACTCTGCCGTGCCGCTATACCTGCTCCAGCGTGAGCAGCAAGAACTCCTTCGAGAGCAGCTCCGGGTGCAGGAGGTGGTCCGCCTCGGTGTCGCTGCTGTTGCTGGCGCCGCCATTGCTGCTCCCTTCCCTCCCAGACAGCTCAAGGGCCCCGCGCGCCGCCATCTTTCCGAGCACGAACCTGATTGGCCGCCTGAGCATTCCTTCCGTGACCTCACGCGGGGCCGTACTTCTTCCGATTACTCTGAAATTCCTGCGACAGGACTGGGAAGGGGGGAACAAGGCAGGAAGTCGTCAGCGGGCGCGCATGAAAGTGACGTAGCGGGGAGAAGACATCCGGTTAGGGCGCCTGAAAGGGGAGAATTTATTCATTCATTCATTTCGTCTTCTTTCCCTTGAAAGGGGAAAATTTATTGTCCCGAATGCGTTCTGGGGACTAACCGCAGAGATCTGGGTTACTTACCAATACATGCCCATAGCCACAGATTACGCCAGAAAAATTAAAGATTCACTGCTTTGTGGCATAGCCACGGTGCAGAAGCATAGTTACAAATTAGATCCCCATGCATGCCGAGGATTTTTGCATTGGGTCGTCCCAAACCCGTTAATTTTTTAAAAAATTTATTAAATTTTTAACCCGCCCTCCCACCGAAGCGGCTCAGGTTAACATATCCAAAGCCACAGTTGTCACCACAAAAGAGGTCATTCTGGCTCCCCCAGCTCTCCTTCGGGGCTCCTTAAAAAGTCATGGCCGCAGCCTCTCGATGGCAGCTGCGATGCCTGTGGGGGGCGGGGCGAAACGTTCGGCCTTAGACTCTTAGGGGCAAATTCCACCTCTCCTGCTCGGACATCACAGGTGAGAGGTCATTCTGGCTCCCCCAGCTCTCCTTAGGGATTCTTTAAAAAGTTATGGCCGCCACCACTGATTGCCACTTTGGGGCCAGGAAGCAATTTTTCTCCAGGCCAGTTTGGCCCCCAGTGATCCTGGAGGGTTTTTTTAAATCATATTCTGGGCGTGGAACAGGGGTCACTGGGGGTGTGTGGGGTATTGGTGATTTTCCTGCATTGTGCAGGGGGTTGGACTAGATGACCCTGGAGGTCCCTTCCCACTCTATGAGTCTATGATTCTATAATTCACCCAGGCTGGCTGTGGGCAGGCCAGCACCTCTGTCAGGCAGAAGCGCCTGAGATCCTCCCCCTCCCCTTTTCCTTCGCCCGACTTGGAGGCGAAAGGAAGGGAGAGGGGGGGAAAGAATGGATCCCAGGTGCTTCTGCCTGTCAGAGGGGCTGGTGCACACTTCCGGTGATGTCAGGGTGTGTGGCATATGCTAATAAGTTATACTAGTGAGCTCTTGCAGCTCTTTCTACTAAATGACCCTTGGGGTTGCCAACCTCCAGGTGGGGACTGGGGACTTCTGGCTTTTACAACTGATCTCCAGCTGGCAAAGATCAGCTCCCTTGGAGAAAATGGCCGCTTTGAAGGGTGGACTCTATGGCATTGTACCATGCTGAGGCCCTTCCCCTCCCCAAACCCTGCACTCTCCTGGACCCACCCCCAAAGTCTCCAGGTATCTTCCAACCCAGACCTGGCAATCCTAAATACAGAAGTGTAATGGTCTCACATTACTGGCTCCTGCCACAATAAATTAGTTTGATTGATTGGAACAGCAAGGTCAGAAACTGGATCTTCTTAGTCTGGGCTGTATAAAGATGGAGAGCTTCAGCAAGGGAGGCCAAATAGTTGGGCAGCCGCTGCCTCGCCCACTACTGCTTTGTGGAACCACCATGGCACAAAACCATGGTTCTAAGGCACAGGTCATACTTTTGGTCACCCCAAAGTCACCCTGCCTCAAATAATACATAATGACTATGCCCAGAGACTGTGCCCAAAAATCATAGATCCACCTTTTGTGGCATTGCCACGGGACAAAAACATAGATCCAAGGCATGGATCCTAATACATCCCCAGGATTTTAAAGCTGGGTCACGCAAAACTCACCATCACTTAACACATCCATGGCCATGAACTGTACCACAAAATTCACAAATCCATTGTTTCTTGGCACTGCCACAGCACAAAGACATGACTCCAAATTATGTATCCTCGTGAGTTTTATGCTGTGTAATCTGATTTGAGTTTCAGTGAGAAAGGCAGACTACAAATAACATAAATAAATATATGGGATCTGTTAATTGCTTAGGGAGCCTTTGGGATTCCAGTCTGGAACAGGCCTTTTTAATCACAGAGGTATTAATGGGGGCCACCAGGCAAACATTCTGCACATGCTCAATGGAATGCTCTTCACTATTGTTTCTATATTTCAATGGAGAAGACCGACTTATCCCCAGTTTAAAGTAAAAACCTAAGAAGAGCCTTCCTGGATCAGACCAAATGACCATCTTGTCCAGGCCAGTTTTAGATTAACAGAAAATATATTAGGAGGAAAAATAAACACTCGCTTGAATATCAGGGACAATGTTCTGCATGCAAATTTCACATGTGAAGTAAAGCATGGAGCGTAAAAGCAAGGAGCCAAGCATGCTACAAATAAGTATGAGCTCCTAGAACCTAAGCCTAGACCAGAAAGAAGAGGCAATGCTCCCCTTTTAAAAGACCATTCCTAATGAAGGACATGAAGTACAACAACCATCTTCCATGCTCAGCCAAAACCAAAATGTCGTCCTTGAAGTGAAGAACTAGATGGTGCTTTGAGCAGAGGAAGGAAAGCTAGGGTTACAGTATCTCCAACCATCCTACCTCTTGCTTTTAACAAAGTGACAGGCTGTAAAATCGTCCAAAATGGACCACTGTACAGTACATATTTCTCATGTTACAAATACAGAACTGAAAGAAAAGCTGCCGTAACATATTCTTTTTCCCATAAGTACAAAAGAGACAAATCCATGATAGGACAGCAGACACAACTCTCTTTTGTGAGATACAGGGCCCTTGTTGTGGTCAGCACACCCACATACAATATCAGACATCAGCTGCGTGCGTAGAATGCACTAAAGGAGCTTCTGTTGGTGAATAGGTAATTCAGCTTAGTGGGACCAGAGCATTCCAATGGGCACAGTGTCAAGGGGAAAAAAGTCATAAGGACAAAAGCCTCTAAAGAAAGAAAATTGGCATTCTGCCATTAAACTAACTGGCCCAGAGTATATGCTCCAATGTTATGTATTTGACTAGCTGGTCACCTGCATGGAATTCAGTATAATTTCAAATGCATGGAATCATGAGCTGGAGAAGATTTTGAGATCTCATACTCCCCCTGATCTATCCTTTGGATTCTCTAAGCTCTCAAGGGCTGGACCACGCTGATCCCCAACACTTCTTACCTTTCAACACTCAGCTGTTTTCAACATTCCATCCCTTATGGAGATGCTTAATCTTCATTAGGCTGTTTCTTGGGGCTTTATGGGTGTCACCACCTACAGGCAAATCACTTATAGCGGAATCTGTTTCACTGACAAAGAGGTGATTTAGCAAAGAGCGTCACTCCTGCCACTCTCCACCTTGCCCACCTTCTTGCTTTACAGGGGGACAGCTTTACAGCTTTCCCAAGCCCTTCAGGTAGATAAATGTGCAAAATTACCTTCTCTCCTGAACAGATTTCAATGGAATTTGAACACCATCCTAGCACAACTAAAAAAAAAAAAAGACTAAAACAAGCAGTGTGCTCAGATCAAGACATCTGGCAAACAGGAAAATACAGTCCTCAGTTGCAGTTAAGGGTTACTAAGGATACTGAACATGCTACATAAAGTATGATGTTTTCTAGTGAGTGGCTGCATCATGTATATATAGATATATGTTGTCCTCCCTTACCCCCATAAATCATTGTTAGTCCCACGTTGAATGAGTAACTGTAAATCGCTCAGAGCCAGCAAGCTCTGCAGGATTGAGCAATTAATAAATTGAAAGATTATTATTATTATGTAGCTCTCCTCCGGGAAAAAGAGAGTTAGTGAGATAGGTCTCCTTCTCAAGTGCCTTTCCAGTATAATTTCAAATGCATCCATAAGGACAGCTTGTTAGGTGAAAGCCTGACCATCCCCGAAGTCCAAAAACAGCACCTCAGTAATCCCTGCTGGGTGTACAGCAGAGATTCACAACTGCACTCTGCAGAAGCCATGTACAATGCAGGGTACCAGATTGCTCTTGCAGCCTGAAGCCAGGGAACTGGGGCAAGCACTGTTGCTATCCTGGATGAACAGACTAGCCTTGTGGACTTACTATTTACTTCATTTATACCCTGCCTTCCTCCCCAGTGGAGACCCAAAATGGTTTACATACCCAGAGTAATTAACATGCGAAAGTTACTGCCACAGGAAGTGCTGGCGGCAACAAGCATAGGCAGCTTCAAGAGGGGACTGGATAAACATACACAGCAGAGACCTATCAGTGGCTATTAGCCACAAGGTATAGCTGGAACACTGTGTTGGAGGTGGTGATGTTGCATTCTTGGTGCTTGGTGAGCAACTGTAGGAGGGCTTCTGGAGTTCTGGCCCTGCTGGTGGACCTCCTGATGACACCTGGGTTTTTGGCCACTGCGTGGCTTCTCATATTCTCTTATGTTCTTATTCTCAAGGGAGGGCCCTGCCACAGAGAAATTGGAGTAAAAATATGTTCAGTGGTGGCCTCTAACATCATATCATGATGGACCTTAAGTATCAATAGTGTTAACTAATTAAGGGGAATCAGACAAGTGGACTACTGCACAGGCAATCACTATATGGGACTGGAAAACTTCCCTTGCTCCCCTGCCCATTCCAGCATCCCTGGGAGTGTGTTGCTAGGACCAAAATACAAGTTTGGAAGAGTTCAAAAATGCAATTACTTGAGGGCTGGCAGAGTGATCAGAAAGATAATTCATATCAGAAAGTCGTCATTAAGTGCTGCTTAAACCATCTAAAGGGCAAGTACTGATGGCTAATTAGGTCTCAGTATTGGTCTGGAAGGACTCACATCTCAAATTTGTCAGTGCTACAGACCAGTCAGGGTTGAACTTGCTTCTCCCAGGGGCTGTCATTTCACTCTGTGACCTGTAATTTCAGCCGGGCCAGAGCACAAAATCTATTGCTAGGGACAGTCATTCTACTCTCCACCGTTATTCCAGTCCCAGAGCACTGAGTCTATTCCCAGGGGCTAGCAACACCAGGATCCTCATGTGATGATT